GCTCGAATCGTTTCGTATTTCAAACACCATCAATAATAGTGTACAGGCAAATATTTAGCTCACTTGTCCAGTTTATAGCAGAAGTACTTTAGTCAAATAACAAAAGCTAATAGCTCTGTTTGTTAAACAAACTACTTGTTGTTTCCTTTCTGTAAATAAAGTCTTTTCAAAAACTGCGTTTCACATATTAAGTTCATTGTTGTATTTGCGCAGAAGCGTTTCAGACAAAATAGCATTTCGCTCTGAATGAATGCTGAAAATGATAAAAATGCCTTTTTTTTTTTCGCTGGAAAGAAGGAAACTAAATTCTTCATAGTTCCTCAGCAAGCTTGTTGGGTAATTCAATGGATTTTTCAAGGACTCAAAAAATACGTGGTAGATTTTTTGACATCTATGTTCACAGCAGTGGCTGTCAAACGAAGTGAATTTGTATGCTCCTATTTACGGCAAAAGTCAGGGTAATTGCCTGTCCGGAATATATATTCGTTTATGCTAATGAAGTAATGCCGCTATGAAGCGGGAATAAAAGGCTGTACACGAAAAGCACAAATTCTATCCCCTCGCGGAAGTCCCTTTGCAGAATAAAGCCCAGCAATTGGCTTTAAAATAATGCTTCACTCGTCGAAACAACTTTTCTAAATAGCACAAACCTCTCAACTGATTAGTTGGCCGGCCCCATTTTACCCTTTGCAGTAAAATAGGTTCCAGTTCGCCTCGTCTATGGTGACACTTAGATGGGATGTTTTCAATAAATTTCCCATTTACGTTAGTTAGGTGACCCCGGTTATCGCAGGCCCTAGGACTTACTTTTCAGATCGAGTAAAACTATACTATATATGATACTAATCTACTACTATGATACTGAAACACGATCGAACGATACCGATCGGCGCAAAACTTAAATTTCGCCTCCACAGTGCCAGCTTAAAAGTATTGATATAGCAATAAACTATTAGTAGTAGTATAAAGTAGGAAATACAATATTTTTGGTAGATTATGCCGGGCAAGTTGGTCTGTATCTAGCAAGGAGTGAATATTGTATATGTCGGCTTTACAAATGATAAAGGTCAGTATTTATGCCGCCTTGTTACCCTCTACTTCAAGGTTAGAAGTTTTCCACTTGTTCGTTACCGAAATAATTCCCATGGCTCGGCTGTAACGCTGACCTATACTGTAATATTTAGTAGAGTGCAGTCTTTTTTTTTATGCTGAGCTAGCTTTGAACACATGTTAATTCACATGTGCCGTTGTTAGAGCAGCTAAATAACAATATAATTTGCTAATTAGGATAAAAAAATGTTTGCATTAATTTAGTTATTGGTTCTCGCGCGTGTAAAACAAAATGCCGTTTGTATCGCCATTAAGAGGTGGTTAAGGCATCTATAGGTGGTCCCGTTGCATAGACTGTTTTGCTACTGCTGATAACCTGTACAGCAGACGTTCGAAGTCTGTTCTAAGCACCCGGTGAGCTGACCACACTATTAATTGTTGCGCAATTACGTTGGTCGTCTCCATCGCGCACTTTCTACAGTTTGTTTAAGCGACAAACATAGAATCATTTGCTATTGCGGCGGTGTTGTATAGCCGCGTCGGTATCGGCACTGTGCAAAAGATGTGGGTCAGATCAAATCAAATCAGAAGCCATAACAACGGTGGTCTGCCATTATCCTGTGTAAACATCGTTTTGCTCTGTTCTGATGGTGACGAATGCGAAACCAAAGGATAGCAGCTGGAGTTCAGTGAGCAGAATCGGTAAGCAGGTTGGCTGGCTATCTGCCTCCCTTCTCCGTTTCGATGTTTCCTTCGACTGTTTCACCAAGGTCAAGCGTTGGTTACAATACTGGTTGTTGTGACCACAAACAGGAGCTTTTCTCATTTCGTAATCCTTGCTCACTAGTTCTTGTTACAGTTTCCTGTTACGTTGCAAATCTTACTGTTAACTAGGTGTTGATGTTTTCAGTTTCCCTAGATTGTACCTTTATGGCATAGTATCTCTATTCGATTCTTTTAGTTTTCTCTCCTGTATGATACCTTTCGATTAATTAGTAGTTGAAGCCAGTAGATGGCTATGATTGTTGCAGGCTTGTCGGTCGTCCGTCGTACGCTTTTAACCGTGGCCTCCACATATCGTTGTCTGGAACAGCCGAATCCAAGTGTCCTGTTGAGTTGATCACTGCTACTGCGTCTGTCACTGTGATTATTATTAGTACAAGCGGAAACCCTAACGGTATAAGGGACTTCCCGCTGATATGCAAATCTCCAACTAATTCTCACCTCCAGTACACGGCCACATATTACCGCTTAGCTCGTACCACGCATAATATACCTCTTGTGGTCTACTTGCATTTAACCACTAATAGCATGGAATAACAGACTATCCTTTTCGATATCTTTTCCCGTAGGTGCTCATTGTTAATGCTAGCCCGCCAGGTGCCATATCTTCTCCACCGCAGTTCGTTGGAGTTAATCCAGTCATAAAGCAAAACGCAATCGTACCTCCCAAGCATTTCTTTTTCCACTGCGTACCCACATCGTGCGGGGGATCATGTCCGTGACGCTCTACTTCGTGCTCTACTGTCCGCATTTCCGCTAACTGTGTCAATGGTCAACAATAGAAAGTAACGATTTGATGAGGGCAAGCGGCGGCTGAGATTGGCCTGGTAGATGCCCTTCTGTATTTCCTTTTCATCGCCGCGATTGGCGAAACGTGACGGCGAATAACTAGCAGAGACAATACGAAAAAAAAAACGCTCGTTACTTGATGCCGGTGACTCTTTCGTATGTGCTGACAAAACTGCCAAATTGCAAAAACCAACGTGTGAGTGTACAAGGCGTGTGGGGAATAGGCTATGGAACTGAAAGCTGTGCCTGTGCAAAAAGCATCCGACAAGTTGATGCTGGACTAAGCCATCCGAACCCACCGCGACCTAGGACAAATATGCAACGTCCTCGGTACTGCAGCTGCTATCGGGATAAAGCAATTTGTGGTCATCTCTCTTTAAAAGAGGTCTGGTATCATAGAATGCCAAAGTTACGGGTCGAGCGTCGCAAAGTTATGAGACGGCCAAGAAACTTATTACCACTATCGGACAAAGGCAGACAAAATATACACACACACACACATAGAGAAACGATTCTCACTTTAACAAACACGATTGTTAGAAGTCAAAGGAGAAGTCAGAAAGTCCGAACTCGGAGGCGACTAAAAGTTCCGTAATGACGTGACGCTTGAAGGCACAAAAAGAGCTGTGGTCACAGAGGGTAATTAGGGTGATTACATATGGAGGACCAAGACGATTCACCGTCCGTCAGTCAAGCAAATGAACACTCGTAGATTATAAGAAAAGCTACTGCGACCAATATTAACCTCAGTTTCTGGCACCTTTCGTGTATGCCGGATGGCGGCTGCTCGCAGGTTATGGTGCGAAAATGACGACAGGCCAAGAAGAAGCTGTCTGACAAGTCCAACGAGGACAAGTCGATGTGTCCGCTGGTTGCATTTTGCTAACAGTTTGCAAAGATTGCGAAATAAAAAAATAAAGAATAGTTAAGCCTGTGTTACAGCTCACAATAATCCACAAGACACACGCTGTCGCAATGGTGCCGTGGGATGCTTCTCACTGGGTCTTCCGCTGTTTGATTGTCAATCTTTATAGTACTTGCGCCTCATGCGGTGCTAGGGCAATTCATCAACAATAATCATATGAGAAGATTTTTAGGGTCAAGTCAAACAGTGGCTAGACGGGTCATTCACTTTCGAGTTTTGCGTTCGGTATCGCCGTTAAGTATTCCATCGGACGGCTGGCTTTCAGCACGAAATAAAGCCTGTCGACACCCGAGTTCTAACTCAGACCACAAAGTGTTCCGAAGGTTAGCAGGCAAATACGTTACCCACTAAGCTGTCACCGCTACCCTGTCTCATATTATGTGACTGTTCATAAGTTTCGCTTAGCCTGGACCTCAGTTTTGGACCAAGTAGTTGAGCTAATGAATTAATCCGAAGTTAATACTTCTCCCTTCTGATATGAGAGGAATGTATCTAATCCTTGTGATTAAAAAAACTATTATAATATCGTGTAATCGGGCGGGGATGCTGCGGGAGTGGGAAGGCACTTGTTTGATGTACCACGTGCATTTTCATAATGTTCCAAAACGCAAGTTTTGATGCCAGCCGTTTCACGAGATGAAAGCAGAAGAAAAGAGAAAAAAAAGTTTTTGAAGTTGTTTCAATGTAAAATAAGTTTGCTGTGATCAGTGAAATTCACTTAAAGCCATTTTATTTAAAGCATATTTTTGTTAGTGGACGGCCTAAGCTGACGAAAAAATCTATAATGTTTCACAAAAATCTCTGATTCGATCTGATGTCCCTACAGTGCTCCCGAGAAAGCGCTGTAAATCATGAAATTAATGGCCTCCTCACGAGCACGCGCTGAAGAGTCCGCTTTGTTGTAAGGGATAAAAATGAATATCGAAGAATGAGAAGTATATTATTACTTTAGTTCAAATCACCGAGCGTTCATCAAAAACTAAAAGACCGTAGTATAGGCTGACTCGAGGTGAGCTAAACTGGCTCAATTTTTAGATATCATTGTCATGACACGAAGTAGTAAACTTTGTATTAACTCTCCTATAACCACACGCGCTAGCGGAACCTCTTCATAGTTACTTTCCAGTTTTGCAATGTACCTTGGTCCTGTTATCGGACCATTAATACATTAATTATTTAAAAGCAACATCATTTCAAAGATGGATTGTCTCATTCTTAAATAGGTTTAATTTCTATTTTTCTGTCTAACCATTTATGTACAAGAATTATATAGAAGATAGTAACGGAACTCATTTCAGTGTTCGAGAACTTGTTATTGGACGAGATGGGTTCACTGACTAGATTCAATTCCTTCTACTGTAACTTGGCCTACCTTCAGACTTGTCATCGAATTCTGTGTCAGTGTAGAAATGCGTTGACTATTCTAACTATCTATAAAATATTTAACACTTACATCCAGCTGCCTGACGACGCTGATCCGGTGCCTATCAGGCCAACAAGCATCAAGGCTAGCATATTCACGTGCCACTTCATCGTCACTGTACACTTATTAGAGGAACTTATTCGTATAAATCATCCACCACGGTACTACTCATGCAGGGCCACACAAAGCACTCCAATTGCAATTAATACCACAGTCGTTCTGAGGTAAACTCTCAAACGTTCTCTAAGTTAATTTTACAATAGCTTTAGCCGTTGAAAACTCAAGGTTAATGTTTACTTAAAAAAAAAGTACGTTTAGTGCTTATTCACTGACACCTGTTTGTTCAACAGTCAACCGCGTAAAGCTATTTCCGTAGCCTATTGATTCGGCATACATCAGCACCCCGATAAGTAGATGTGTGTCTGCAAAAGCCAAAACACGAACACGAGATCAAATATATAATTACTGTTGTATAAGTGAGTCGTTGACGTAGTCGTTTTGCGCCCATACACGCACGACTCTCGCCGGCCAAGAGCAAGGACAACGATGCGCTCCCGGCGGAGTGTAAGCCGCGACTGAGGACAACACGGTGCCCCTTCCTCTTAGGATTTGCTCAGGAGGCCCTCTCCACTTCGGCTCTCCTGAAGGATGACCACGTATCCTCACACAAGCTTGTGGAGTCTCTGATTGGCTGGGGAAGGGGCTCGGATGCCGGGTACTCGGGTGTCACCTGGTAGGAGTCGCTCCTCTGGAGCAGAGCGAATTTCGATGATATAGCTGGGGTTGTAGGTGATACAGGTGTCCTTTCTTTACTTCCAAATATCGCTGCTACTATGGATACAAATGACGACACGTAAATAGGGCTTAAGCTAATACCTGTGTATTTATTTATTATTGGCTACATATTTTGCTATACAGACGTTCTTATATGTAACGTTATATTGTAACGCAATACTGGGCGTATAACTAATTTTAACAGGTTTGGTTAAACACTATGCAAAAACCGCTATTGGTAATTGTGACGATAGAGCCCAAAGCATTGTTGAGGTTGATCATTAGTGCCCCACTTTCGGTCGAATAAATCGATGGACGATTCAGATTAATAAGGATTTTGTTGATCCCAGGCGGTAATCTTGTAAATTGCTTCAAGTATACAATTTACAAATGACAGTTTCACTATCATATCATCATTTCAACATATATATATATGTGTGTGTGTGTGTGTGCATGGAGTTGCTGGACTTTGTGAGCTACGCAAAGGCTGAACAAGTGTTTATGGGAAAATATCGTAGAAATACGATGTTATTAACTCTTCTTTTACTTACCACATGGAGTACCAGAACAACACGAGCATACCTAGCCTCAGCAAATACACGTGAGCTTGCTTTGCCAATTTCGGCAACGTGGGATTGAACTGGGGCTGTTCAATAATGTTAATTATAGACTAGATTTCATTTACTAATAAGTAACTCTTACTTCAAACTTACAAATTTTAGGCCAACTCATTTATTCTGTTTGAAATGCTGTTTTTCGTATCATTAAGATCATTCGACGGATTAATGAAAATATTTTCGGAGTACACAGATCATCACTTTTCTGTTATGATTAGTCTAAAATTGAAAATATCAAAAACATGCGTTTTTGAAAATCACATTAATATCGTTTACTGAAATTTTGGTGCATACGTGCGGTTCTACGGGTGCAAAATAAATCCCCCCAAAGCTAAAGTCAATTAGTTTCATTACCTATGCCCTGCTTCATCCGACACAATTTTTTGCTCAGGTATTGCCATAACGCGCTATGAGTCTCATATTGGACTTTGCCGCTGCTAAAATTTTAAGTATCCACTATAAATGTCGGCTATCGCCACGTATCTACCACCAGCTTCTTAACGCCAGATCGAAATTTCGCCTAGAGCGAGTTGCACCGCATACGTAAGTCGATTACGCATCAGCTAGCCAACTTCGAACTCGAGCTCTATAGATACAACTAGGCCAGTCACTTCGAACGGTATACATTCGGCAGCCCGATCTCGATGCATTCCTTCGGCTCCTATCCGTTACAGGATTTCTTATTAAATCTGCAGCTTTGCCTCTCGGCGTCACAGGCAGACGGTTTGCGTGTCAGTCTACCTTCGAAAGGAAGGAACCAATGAGCAGAAGCAATAGCATGGAATGTACTTACCAACTCGATGTACAGCATTGGAGCGAAAGTTTGCGTCCGTGTTTTTTTGCCTACCTCCAGTACTATTGCATTACATGTATACATAGGTGAACTTTTACCTACATGGGCTCTCCTAAAAGGTGCCGCCGTATGTGAACCCTTCATGGACCTAACGCTTTGCGCCTCGTATGCCGTATTTACTGCAGCGTGCAAACGGTTCTCCGTTAGGTCCATCGTTGTAATTCAAGCGTTTTCCTTAGCCACCCATTTTCCTACTTCTCCTTCCATAGGCATCCTCTAGTCCGACTTATCTAGTAAGCAGTACGCCGCTATTGCGAGTACCGTAGGTGGAAAGTGAGATGTGACTCGCATCAAATCGCTCTTAGGAATCCGAGTCGACGCACGGACGAAATCTTCACCTTCTTGCTGAACACCAAGCAGACCCCGGGATTGCCTGCGCAACGTAGCGCATGGTAGCAGTGCGTTTCGAATGCGCCTCTGCTGATGCAACGGAAGTTCGGCACCCGCCTTGTTGCATCGCTGACGCTAGTAGCGGAGCAAAAGCCGGAAGTTGAGCTGATTTCATCTATTGCGTGGAACATACAGCCGAATCCGGCTAGGTCTATTCGAACGGCCTAACACACCCTAACAGTATTGCGTTGGCATTCGTGTCATACTCATGGTGATGCGTCCGCACGAAAAACACGAGCCGGAAGAGGAAACGGACAGTTCGACGTTGGTCGCTTGAGGATTGCCAACGAACGAAAATCCGTAGCTAGTGCAGCTGTTGTTGCTATTTAAGTGAGCGGCGCGAGTATTATCAGGCTCTTGGGGTTTGCCAAGGTGGCGCCTAGGGGAATAAAAGACCAGAGCAGAATAGACGGCACAGGTGCAATCGGGAAGAGATCTTGCAGCAAACGCTGCTAGGTAAATCCGACTGATCTACGAAGGTGGGTTAGCTGCCTCGCGTATTCTATTCCTTTCTGCTTATGTCGTCCCTTCATGTTGCTTTAATTATAAATGCTAGCAGAACGAAAAGGATAAGGAAGCGACCTTCATATCCAAACCTGTAGGCACACATGAAGCTGATATTGAGAGGGCAATGTGAGCGTTCTCTGCAGACGCTGAATTTGATTGGGGTAAGGTAGAGTGAAAACACAATGTTATGAGTAGGTCGTAGCGACTATTATGTTAGGGAAGTATTTTCTCTATTAACGCTTGTACAACCCTCTGAATTATTCACCTGTTGAGTAGGCACAGAATGGGCGCGGAACGTACTGGTGTCTAAAGGAGGAGAAAGGCAACATGTACTGCATTCCTTGCAGTATTGTTGATTGCACTGTTGTGATACTAGTGTAATCAATGTACGAAGCAGCTGCACGATTTACGAATTTTTCCTGTATTATGATGTATTTGACAATGTCATCACAAAAAATTCACCATATATTCGCCTCATTTATACTTTTCATTTCTAACCTATTAGCAGGGTTATTTGTTTCCAGAACATGGCCACTTTTTGCTGCTGTGGCCGAGCTGCCCACTTACTCTATGTCTCAAGTTTTACGCCCAGTTTCGCCGTTAGGCATAATACCATCAGATAGATTAGATGCTAACTTACTCTAACAGAAAAAATAAATTTCACTACAGCTATAGCACATATAAGCGCGTTGTTAAGTCTCATTACTGCTTCATTAACTATTTACGCACAGCTTCCTCCAAGCCAGCTGCTTTATACGGAATTTACGCTGCTTAACGCTCGTTTATATTTCTTTTTGGATTCTGTTGATTCAGTTTTCATCTACTATGTACTTAAATATCGCATATTTCTCATTTCATTGATTTTAACTGTTTGTAACTTGTTGTATGATGACAAGACTTTTTCATTTTGGCATACTAAACCATTACACGTTTCAATTTCTACATTTTCTTCGTTACCTGAATACTATTACATTAATCCGTCCGTGCGATACGGTGTCACTTTCCTAACTGGTCGTTGGTAAGTGTATTTAAGGACAGTGCTCTTTTTTTGTTTCTCTTTCTACGAAAGATAGGGTCAGCAGCTCACAAGATCCTATACATGTTCGTAAAGACAAACACGCGCTTGTCGACTGAATGACCAATCGCGAATTGTGTAGCCACAAGCGCGCTTGCGCAAAAAAAATGGATATATAAAAATAATGGAGGCCAGATAGTGGTAGCGCGCAATGAACACTTATTTCTCTCGGTGGTTCCGTTCACTTCTTGTGTCAGTCCATTCTAGTCATCTGCAAAAGGCAAAATGACAGACTGCCGGGCTATCACATCCAAGCCGGTGCTGCTGGTCTGTGACTGCTCGCTTGCGGAATCATAGATTCATCTCTTATCGTCTTGACAGACGCCTACTGGAGCTCCGTTACCACTCATTCGATCTGTCTGTCACCGTGATTTGCCGTGGTGATCGCGCAGCAGCACGTCGTCTGTCGATGCCGTCAATCAGCATCGCATAGCCTCAGCTGGAGTGGATAACCTTCTTTCCGTAGCGCGATTCCTGTGCACCAAAAGAGTGCTTCTTAAAAAGGAGCTACACTATGAGATGAAGCGAACGGACTGCTGTACTATAACAAGTCTTGTTTTGAATTGTCCGGTTTAAAAAGATCGGTTCGTCTGCTAATAGCGTCCTTGTCAAGGGGACAGTGCAAGATCCGCTTATCTCGAGATGCAAAGAGAACATTGGTGGTTCTGGTGAACTTAATAGTCGCTAGCGTAGATCGGTTCAGACAAAGAAAAAGTTGAGGTTATCTGTAAATACGCGCTGCCATTCGTGTAGCTGATTTGCCATTCGTGTAGCTGATTGAGTCTGTCTAATTTCATTCATGTGACCAAGATGCCTCTCTGCGTTCTTAGGACAAATTTAAGGCATTCCGCTTTTGGTGAAGATTTTCACCGGTTATTCTCAAAATGCGTGGCTGACGCCCTTAACAAACCCCATGAGGTATGTATGTGCTGTGCCGTAATATGACATGCATATTGCATAACATTAATTTGAATCCAAAAGTTTCTCAATGTGTCGGCTTACCAAACATGCAGTTAATCACTCACAAGCGGCGATTTTGTCTTCGTCTAATACGAAACATCACACTGCACCTTCGTCGTTAAGGCCATCCGCAGTGAACGTTGGTGTGCTCGGATAATATTCCGTTATTACTGAGCGGGGGTTATTGTCGTGCAATGCATGTGGCCTATCTGTCGTTAAATCAAACCTAATGAAGAACCAAACTATGCGTTCGTAATATGGAGAAATTACGCCTCATAACGTATACGTTACCGTTAGTAGAAGATACATAGCATACACTTGGAACCTAATTTTCAACTAGATGGGCGGTTACAACTTAAAACACATAAACATGAATATTTTGGCTAAACGGCAGACTCCAACTGATCTTGCGTCAGGACCATCGGGTTATGACGCATCAACAAAAGAAAAGCACACATTCAACTAGTAAAGTATCTGGCTTTCACTGTCAGGTTTGTACGCTAGGGTGTGCCATACGTGTGTAACGATTTGCGAAGCAATGCTTAGCGGTAGTAGCGGGCGTAATACTCCAATCTCCATTTGTATTGACTTAAGCTGTGCTTTTATTTGTTTCTTAACCGCTCGGAGTATTGCGTAGACAGTGCCAGCCAATGGTTAAATGCGGAGATATTTAGTTTTGAAGCCTCTTTCAGACTTGAAAAATGCCGCATGTCTCGCTAAATTTCTGCACAAAAATCAGAAACCGTGGAGAAAATATAGGCGTATTTCCCATGAAGTTATGATTGTTTGTGGAACGGCGTTAGCTGTGCGAATAATTAACAAGGTAACATGTTTACTGAAATTAGTAACCACTATTAAACCTAGTTAATGAATAATAACTAGGCCACGGTTTGTTGTTTTCAATAGTCATGTTATACCGGTAAGATATGCTCCTTTTGAATACTTAATACTTTACACCCTAAGGTCATCAAGACAACAATTCATCGCAAGAGACGGAAGCTATATTGTCTTCCGATACAAAGGCAAGGGCAGCGAATTGAGCAATAAGCTAGTTAGCAGGTTGATTATTATTAAGAGTTAATATTAGTTGGAGTTCATAAAATTGTAAGACAGTCATTATAACTGGCAAACGGTTCGATTGCTTCCATCATAAGCATCTTTCAAGGCCCTAACATGATTCTGACACATGGCTATTTCAGTGCTCATATCATCACAAACTTTTATACAAAGCTAATAATATCCTAAATATCTAATCTTAAATGTCTATGCTCGGTCTTATGCGCTGATAAGAAACATTTGTTGAAATACAATTCTGCTAATTTGGCACCCCCTTGTTGCTCTGTTGGCCAATTTCGTGTGTTTATAGAAGGTCACTGTCGTTCTGGAAAATGAGGCGAATATGTCCCGAGGGGGCAGTAAGGAATCTACCGTTTGGCTGACAATTGAGTCAGTAGGCGTGTTTTCTGCAGAAAAGAATAAACAAATAAGCCAAACACTTCGAGCGCATCTCAGAAACTTGATTTTGGTACCTGAAAACCGGTAAGTTTAAAGTCTACACTGACTTAACCTTGTGAAATGAACCATTTTTTCTTCAATTAGACACTATTCTTTATTTCTATTTTCTTGGAAAGTATTTGTTCTATACATAAAGGTGCGTATACGGTTTATTCATGCTAGCATATTCAATATGTTTTTTTGCATTAATCACTTTCCTTCTGCCATATTATATGCGTTGAAAAGTATAAACTCAATCCACACTTGCAACAATTGATATAAAATATTATCTCGGTCCTGAGATATTGTTTTTAATTCCTTATTTCTAGCAATATTACAATTAGAAAACTGTCTTATAAAGACGATTATTGCTATTTAGGTCATCTAAGTCCGGAATTTTTCGTACACTTTGTTTTTGAATACAAAATTTATTTCGTATTTCAAAAAACGTATTTCAAGAAAAAATTTGCATACGATAGAAATGTCGCTTCAGACAGCCTTTTTTGTTCATGTTAGCCATTATGTGTTGTGTTGACTCTCATCGGACTCCCGCCCAACAACATACCATACATCGTAATCCTAGGCTGCTCAGTAATCATATGTGCTTATCTTAGAACTGCTCATGTTCCCAACTAACCGGTCCTGCATTACCTGACTAGTTTAGGACCGTATCATACATGGTCGCACTGTCCTTCGTAAAATAGGTAGATCAGATTCTTTGCCAATGTGTTCGCCTTTGTAGAAGAAGGATAATGGTATGAAATCTCCTTCACTAAATAGTACAATTAGAAGTTGGACATTGCCCGGAAAATTGCCTTTATCCGTAGTAGGCACAGATTCTGTAGATTGTGAACGGTGAATCGAGAAAGCGATTGCTCGACATCATCTCGGTGTTAAAGCACTTTTTCAGCCAAAAGTTCGTTTACATCCTCCTTGTTAATTAATACCAATAATAACTGTTTTGGATAAAGGCGTTCGTGAAACCGCAAACGGCCATTTGAAAAACTCCGGATTTAGTAGATCACCCGGTATATGCATGTCAGCAGTGGTTAATGGTATCAAGACACACACTGCGCACCTTCTAAGACGACTGTTTTTAAAGTAAAATAACAGCTCTTTTAACCCTTCTTTGAAATGTTTTATTTGGTAATTAAACAAAGAAAATAGACATTAATTAAATGAATAAATGTTTTGATACACGTATAAACGATAAGATAAGAGCATCACCTTTCATAATAAACTAGATTAGTTTAATTGTATTTTTCATGCATTTCAGAGTTGTGATCACTCTTCGTGATTTACCAAAAGACGAGCTGGTCTAAGGAGTCTGGAAACGTACCTAAATTTTATTACGCGAACGGCTGTTTACTTTGTCGTCAGGGTTCAATCAGTCAATTAAAAAATTCAAACAAATAGAAAATTTTCATTTAAACGATTTTACACTATGTGTACTATGTTCGATCTATAGATTGTCACCCACAACTATTATCTACGCTATCTTGCATTGTAGTTATCTCCTAGTCTAGTTACCTAAAAAGTGCATCTATTTAAGGTCTAACACATGCATGCCATATGAGTAAACCAAAAATAAGTGATGACAGAAAACTATCTTGTTCGGTTGGGTTCGACATACAAATAAATACAAATAAAATCGTTTCAAGAGCCACCAGTCTCATAGAAAAAGGTTTCTGTAGTGACCCACATGCTAAAAGACCTATCTGAAAGAAAAAGATACGTGTCAAATTGAAGTGACAACAAATCGTACTTTTGTTACAGAATAATGCTTCAAGAAAAATGTTTGAAGATCAGATTCTGCGAGCTTTGTCATATCGAGTAAGAAAATAAACCGAACTGCGGCCGAAAAACATTTCGATCATCTACTTTTCTATAATGTAACATAGCGTTTACTGGTATAAACATCTTTATTTGTACCAGTGGTTAGAAAAGTTGTTAAAGACAATACTGTTCTTCCTTTTTTCAGTTCAGTTTTTATGTAACGTTTATTTCATAAAAGGGAACAACTAATAATTAACACAGTGAAAGCTAAATGGAAATTTACATTATTTTAGTAACTACGTCAGCAAATCCGACTCATTCAACTAGGACCCATGAAGTTAGAGAACTATTTTGGTTCCTACAGAACCGCTTGACCTTGTTTGCTTGTTAAATGGTGATTCGTATTTGTTTTCGATACCACGGAAATTTTGAGCTAAAAGATAGATTTCCGCAGAGTCGTCTCGTGAGGCAGGAGGCTTGACGTACCGGACATTTTCAAATAAATTTTTCAGATCCTGACAAAGATCCGTCTCCCTCCTTCCGCGCCAAATTTTGCACAAAAATGTGCCTCCTAAAAACATTGCAACAAGTGATTTTTTCACATTCTATATTTCTCTGTGTATACGATTAAATGATAATAAATTATATGAATTGATTTTGAATAATACGTCCTCTTACGATGATAGTAATGATAAGATTTCGATTAGTTCGAAACGTGTTAATAAAGCGTAAAGAGGTGAAAGCAACAACAGGGAGAATTTTTATATTTCTGCAAAGCAGATGCAACCATTTTCTAATAGATTCTTGGCAGCTTCTAAGGTCTTTGGACACGCCTACCAAATTAACACAGTAAAAGGCCTTCAATTATATTTAAAAAAAAAAATCTAGAAATAGTATAAGGTTATGGGTGGCAGGAATACAAATGCATTTTGGTCACTTAAATTACAGAAATTCGAACATTGAGCTTATTATACCTGTGACGAGATGTAACACAGTGAATTTGAGTGCCGCGTAACAAAGCTTTATGACATTGTCATGGTCTATTTCCTTGTGGCCTGATGCCGATGGACACATGTCACTAAGGACAACATCAACAAAGCTAGATTTATTAAAGTCATTAGAACCGCTTCGCGCCATCATTATAGATGCTAATTTCTCCGTACATTCTAAAAGTAAAAAGCCACACAAAAACACAATATTATTCACTTGGAAACCACACCGTAGCATTGGGTGTGCTTATCGGGTAATTTTATATTTCTTTACAAATTTAAAATATAATACGTCGCTACAGATCGACGTATTACATAAAATTATAAAGTACGTAAACGTCGATATTCTTTTTTCTTCGATATTTGTTGCAAGATTAAGGTCAAATTAACAAAAATTCTATTAAAAGTTTGCAAACTAAGATTATCTGATTGTCTGATGAAGTATTTTCTGTATATTATTGTTAGGTGCGGGGATGCAGGACAACGAAAATCAGTCAAATAAATTTAATGAGTTTTTATTAATTACAATAGTATATGTTTTTTTCTATGGAAATACCTAGTATACGTTTTTTAAAACAAATTTACTTATATTGCTGCGAGCGCGCTTTATCTGAATCAGACATGTAAGTCGGTACTAAGTAATCAACGGAACTAACTTGCTCCTCAACAAATGAGGAATAAATTAATCTGGGATGTTTTAAGTTAACTAAAGTTAACTAGGTCCACAAATAATATGAGCGTTAATTATAGGTAAACTCACCCTCACTAAAGATATTCATTTCGGGCAGACAGATCGCGTGCTGAACGGGCTCAAACGGGATTATATCCAATGCAATAACAGTTCCCTGAAGAAAGCGCTTGCAACCTGTTGAATCAAGAAATTAACAGAATGACGAGGAGTATATATTAATGTTATGTCTTGTTTCAGTATACGTAAACAAAGTATCACTGCGGACGAAGCCCTTATTCACATATTTACGGCATTCCTATGGTTACTATTAATTAAGTCTTTGAATACTTTTCCTTTTAGTGCTTTTGAAATTTCACAGACATGGTAATATGCGATATTTCACTTTTTCATCGAAAAATCATTGTTGCAAACCTTAATTTAATAGTGAGCTGTAAATAATTAACAGATTGCATAAATTCATATTAAATCATATAACAAATTTTAATTAAATACTATTTGCGGTATTGGAACAGGTACTAGTTGTAATCAATAATATAAGCAGTTGTTTTTGCACTCGCGGTAAGCTCCAAGTCAAAAAAAAGTTTAACATACGCTTTCTACGCGTAGTATTTTTAGCTTTTTGCTCATTCTTAAAATTATAAAATATTTGTCGCGGACAGGGTTCAAAGGTTTACAAACGTGTGAAAAAGCCGTATTCTAGTTATAAATTCAACATTTTACCTATGGAACACGTATTATGTACTGACCCTAGCTGTCGCTGCCTAGAAATAAGATACACTAAAATACCTAGTTGAGCTGTTAGAACACTTTATATAGAATATAAGGCCTCTTAATAACATTGTCAGTAGCGCAGGGAAGTGATATCTAATTATGTAGCGATCTACGCCAGCTCTTCCCTACCGAAACCACATAGTCGCGCTGTTGATTTTATTAATAGTCCTACCTGTCTCCCTGAGATATTGTTAGAGACGAACAAACATTTGTTAGACACTTAGCTAATGACCCTGAATATGACAATCTGGTGGAGCGAGTAGGGGCGGCCGGAAAATCGTGGCACAATCGAGTCTTAGTCTGTGAAGAGCGAACACAAACGAGCGAACCCAAACGAAAAAATGTGTATGTACATAAATATTTTATCTGTTCAGAACAATGTAAACGCTTTGTCATTAAATCTAGCAGGTCTATCATCTTTTGTAAATACTGCATAGTCCTCTCACTTTCTGCTGGTGCACATACGTTCAAGCAATCTACCAAATTCAGTCGGTTGCGATTTGCCAAACAACGAGCAATTGTTTTATGCGAATATAGTGGAAGCAATCAAAATATATGTACCAGCGTAGAATATCATCTCAATAATAATAATAGCTTTTGTGATTTAGTTCATTGTGAAACGAAAATCATAATGCTATATGGCAAAAAAGTGTGTAGAGTATTGATATATATACATAAGATAGGGCATGACCCACTCATACATCTCCGCGCCAACCTCGTCTTGCTCTCCTAACTGTAGGGTGTTTTCGCACATCCTATTTGTCTAAATATAATAATTTTCTATTCTGTTGGATTTTACTTTCGTGGCCACTGTTTAACCCTAGTTATCTGAAAACGTATCTATCGTACAGTTTTTCCTGTGGCTGTGTTCGACAGTCATTTTTACGGTTGACGAAAAAAACCAACATTGATTTAAGCTGAAATAGTAATTTGCATTATATACCTGATAGTTTTTATCGAAAAAATATATTTGGAAAAATGCAGGTCCAGCCTCGGAACACATGCCAAAGAAGCATCTCATGAAGGTAAATGATAAGTTGTCTAATTAAATTTTTAAAAAAGATTATCACTTATTAGGGAAGTAATTTGAAATAAATAAAACTAATAAAATGCGTGTCAAAGGATAATTTGGGTGATATTTTTGTACAAGCATGATATAAACGAAATATTTTTGGCGGTAAAACAAGCCAACATTTCAACATGCATTAATTGGCGAATTAAGGAAAATTGCCTCCAGACGAGCTTATAGATGACAAGTTAGAATACTGTGGTAAAGGTATATATAAGTACAGTGGTGCCATCTACCGTCCTTGTATCATTAGAGCGACCATTGAAATACTGAAAAGGGACGAAAGGATTAATGACTTTCTTAGGGCAATCAAAAAATCAGTATTATCCGAAGTATTGCCTTAAATCAAGAAAAGCCAACAATACCGATAGCATAATAGACCAAACAAATATAAGTGTTCCAAATAAAAAAAAAAGGAGACTATTTACTCCAGAAACCGGTGGCTGCCATATAAGTATATGCGATCGGTAGGCGAGCATAAAAAGATCATCCCAACGGTAATATATAAATATTTGTTGACGGAACACATCGATGAAATCATGTTGAAGCCAAATCATGCAGGTAAGGGTGACAGAAAAGCTGTTCCGGAAACCATAATAGCGAGGAAGAACATGTATGCATGTTCTATACAGTCTTGAAATGCAAAGATCTACAATAACACATTTTAGTTCAACATGTAGATAAGAGTGAGAACACGCGAAACAAGTTTTTACAAAACGCCACTTTTTATTTTCATGGTTCTTACATGACTTTTTCTGCCTATATTTCTCATTCAGCAGATATATTTTAGTGGGTTCAATCAATTCTAATTTACTCATATTTACAGTAGTAACAACAGTAGTTAGATTGTTTTACTTTGTGATTTGTCGAGTTCATGTGCCCAGTCCACACCAAATTATTATTGTCCTCTTCTTTTTTTCATTGGCTAGTGAACGCTATTTTTTTATGGCGGGACGTTTGCACTCTGACGAACAGAAAACAAAGATGTGGAGATGAAGCATCTCTCAGGAGGAGTCAATAAAACCAACAACAACAACAACAGCAACAACGATTCGTCGTGGGAAGTGATCGACGATTGTTGCGTTTCCCGCCTAAAATGTAGAGTATTTTTTGAGGCGGATGCAGAAGCTAAGGTTGCAGCTACCAATTAACAATGTGCCATTTTATGCCGCACCATCAATATGGTGCTTTAATAATAAACTGGCACGTTTCTAGCTTAGATATCGTTTTATTATAACTCCTCTTTCACCATTGGATCATACGAACATGATTATTATCACCATTATCTTATTCAGTTTCTGCTTTTTTAATTTTTTCTTTTTTTGAGCAGTTTTTATATATACGTTGTAGTAATTTTGATTATCTTTTACAATTAAAAGGTTTTTCACATTTTTTCAATTATGTAAGTTTTTCAGTGCTTAGTTGATGTTTTTACATGTGTATGTCTATGTAGTATACTTAGCTAAACGAACTCAACAGATCACTTTTGATTTTTTTTACGCAAAATTCTACGATTGAAACTTCTGTATCCTAAACAACTTGTAGCAAAAACACGCCCTTTAGACACAGAGACATGTTTAATTGCCACCATACTGCCACGGTGCCATGGCATTACACGTTTCCGACACCATGGTAAGTTAATAGTTATTTTTGTTTCATTTCTCTAGTTTTTTTGTTAGATTTTACACAAGTCCAAGCTAAACGCTTCTGATCATTCGTATTCGTAATGCAATTTATGTAAGTTGTGAGTGTTTACGGCGGCAGCTGTTGGTGGCATGAACCTAGCGGGCTGAATCAGCGGTACGACGCGTATATTAATAAAGAATTCGGAGGCTTTGAAATGCCGTGTAGTAATCAGATTGTGTAGGCTAGACCCATTGAATAACAACCTGCGGCCCTGAAACGCCCGGAGCAATTATCCATCCGTTTTATTCAGCCGACCACAACTGCCCTGACGCCAATGGACCTTCGGTCTATGCAAGCATAGGTTAGGGTTCACTGCCTTCGGGTCGTTTCTTTCTGCTAGCTTGAATGTTTGCGCAGCATATCCGTTTTGTGGGTCATTGTCAGAGGGTTAGATACACAAAAACTCACACCCATTGCTATTTCGGATTCGGGTCAAAATTATTTGTTAGGCCAACGACACTCAGTATGAAATTTCGGGCTTCTGCTGGTCCCACTGTTAATCAGCTATGAAGCGACCTGATTCTTCAACTTAAAGCACACCATTATCGTCAGTCTAGCTAAATACTGCTACTTTTGCCACTTAAAAAATTCGCCCGTGCACATTCCGTTCAAAATAGATATAAGCTCGGCACGTTTTTCATCTAAGACGGCGCTCAGCATTTCATATCAAGACCCGAGGCAAAGCTTAGAAAACATCTATCTTTATGTCGTTTGAAGATTATGTGATTTGATGTGATGCGGTTCCATAGCGACGCCATCGGTGAAGTCGTCGAACAGCAGACGTAACGGGTCGATTCAAGTTGTCTTTGTCATGTCAAAACATTATCAATTCTAGCTTTTGTAACCAACCGGGATAAGTTCTACGTCATCATGTTTTTTTTCTAAAAACTTCAGCTGGCTGCAAAGCTAGAAGTAGTTCTCCGAAAAATAAATTGATGGCGCTTTTTGCCTTCATCGGGTCTCGGAGTCGCATCTATATAGCAGCACAATGGTAATCGAAGGAATGATGATTAATTCGCTTAGGAAACATACAGTTAGAAAGTATTTTGAGTGTTTGATAAGCGGTATTTACGTCTGTGTAGCGTAATCATGTTATGCGGTCGCACACTTGTTAAGTTTATCCGAATTCTTTATTCTTAAAAAAAGAAAACGCGAAATTTTCTTTTTAAAAGAAGCCAGTTCTTTCGAAAATCTACAAATTCATTCGTTTTCCATTCGTCATTTCCACTGCTTCGTTCTGTATCAATATAAACAATGCGTAGAATCGGTTTGTCGTCATGACAAAGATGGTCGATCTGATGACAGGTGCTTATTTACACTTTTTGAAGGTATCATAATTTCAATTTTTTCAACAACAGCTATAAGCACGGCGAAAAGTATCCTCTTTTATGTTTCAATAGGTACTGTGATTTTTTATTTTTCTCTAATTGATTATTAAATAGTCCCGGTTATGAAGAAGTACTGTTTAACAGACCTCTGTATACATTAGGTATAAATACGAATGGGACTTATCTAGTATTAGCCATGTCTTTAAGCTGATTCATTAATCGATGTACTTTTTATATATAATCATGCTAACAATTTAGTAACTTACCTTGATTAGTGCTTTCTGATTCTTTTTCAGCGGATTTTTAGGGCTCGCTGGCTGCATCTTAATTGCCGTCTTTCATCTGAAAGCTTTTTTACTCAATTTCTAACCTTCCGTTCGACGACTCTTTTGGCGTTAAACCACTTCTGTCAAATCATTCCCTGTCGGTTTTATACTCAGCTACCGAACGTCATTATGTTTCTGTTAGTTTAGCTATGGCGACAAACTGACCGACGAGCACTCGCTTATCGCATAATTTAATGCCCCATGGCACGATGCAATCGGCAACAACAATAACACGGTAACTGTTTTTACACCATACCTTAGCCGGTCGATTGCGTAGGGCCATTGACAGCCAGATTATCGCTAGCAGCACAAGCGGAGGTGATACAATGATAGATTTTATATTCGATACATTTTTAGGAATTTCGGTACATGTTCATTGCGTATTACTTTAATGCCGTCTATATCTTACCATCTCCTACGAGATGAGGCGTCCACTAACAGCTATGAAGCCGTCCTGCGGACTATACTGGTCCTGTTCTGTTTGTCTGGGAGCATCTGAGATATAACGGCAAATTGAGTAGGTTGGCGAAGAACCGAATTAAATGTTGAACATAAATAATCTTACCGAAAAGATTGTTAAAAGACCACACGTACCCGTATGTTTTAGTAGTAAAGCGAGATAACTCCAACCTGAACTATTACTTCTACTAATAGGCCACTATAACAGGCAACTGTCGCAATTAGATGACCTCACCACATTTGTTGTTGCTAGAACAGATCATGCTCACCTTCCATTTCTAGTTTCTTTTTTTCACGAGACCATCACTTTCAAAAGATAGCAACCTCATGATAGGCCAACAGCAGCAGCAGCAGGCTCTTGTTGCTACAGGCTATCCTACGTTAACTTCTAGCCATGATCTCTAACCATCAAAACTTGCAGCCCGCGTGATAAACAGCAAGCCCGTGGAGACAACTCCGCGCTGCAATAGGTGTACAGGTACTGTAGAGGTTTCTACATATTTTTTAATGCTGTTGTCGCCATAGATTGTATTTTTGGTGTCGTTCAAGCCCCGTTTCTTCAATCGCTTCAACATGGAATCACTGAGCCAGCCTAGCAAAGCTACAGCGTCAATTTTCTCTAGCTCGTCTCCGTCTTTCATTCGGCGGGAATGTAACCCCACTGTGTAACGCGATGGAACTTCGACTATTACTACGCCCAGCACCACTATCATAATCAGCGTAGCGGTAGCGGCACTGCCCTAACAAATCACCGTTATAACTGTCATCACAACTGCTATTCGGGCTTGATGGCACGAGGGCCAAACAACAAACAGTTGGAATCCGTCGGGTAACAACACCAGCGACGTTCAAGTGTTTGGCTATGAAAAGGGACAGTGAAGAAGCCGTTGCCGTAGCCAAACGGAGTCGCCGTCAGAGTGGCTATAGGAATCTGGAAGTGATGATCAATCGACGCACAAACAGCAGCAGCGATGCCGGTTTGACGCGGGCCCGGTACGCTAAGCCCTGCCAAAAGTCATCGATGCATCAGTTGGAAGGGTCGAATTTCGCGTGTGAGACTCTTGCCGTTGCTTTCCTGTCTTCGTCTCTTTCATCACCATCTTCGACTGCTATTCTACAACTATTGAGCAGTTTGCAAGAACACTCGCCTTCAACGTAACCGCCGTATCCCTACAGCGATTACGGAATGGCCTTTTTTTTCGTTGGCCGCGGGCTCTGATTTGGCCCATAACGGGAGCCCGGGCATCGCAAGAATAGCTGACTGTAATCAGCTGCTGGCATTCGGTTGGGTGGGCTCTGTTTGCTGTGTGTGTATCTGTTTATCGATAACGTCATGCCTGTATGTGCCTGTGTAACCAACAAAGTAGAAAGTGTGTTTAAACTAAACTGCGTAGTTCTACGGCATCCTCTCAAATGGGTGAATGCATCGACACAATGAGTAGATAGATACTCGGACTCCACTTTTTTTTGCAGATTTTGTATCTTCTCAACTAAATACTGAGTCCATATTGCTATAAACACTGCCCTTCCCCTTTTTTTACTAGTAAATATTGTTCTGCATTCGTCTGTAGCTTGCGGACTCAGAGCATCTGGTAGCCATCTCTTAGTTGTTAAACAGTAAGAAAAAAATTGAGCATCAACTACCCGTATCGCGTCACACGATTGGTTCGTACCAGTACGTAAATTATCCCCATCACGTATTAACTTGCAGCTTAGTTTAGGTCCTCTGGGTAAATGTCTATTTGCAGATGCAGTGGTTCTACACACAGCGAACATCCTATGTAATTATGCCTATCTATTGACTCTAGCCCCTAGAACTACTGGATTGCTTGTTTATTACATTTTGTCAGGAATCTTTGACTAACGGCATCACAGTCGCCATTCCAGTGGCTATACCAAAAATAGAAAGGTTTTGTTTACAAAGAAGATTTCAGATAGACGAAGTTTAGAATAAAGGAATGAGGTTACTTATTTCTTTCAAGAATCCTATCTGTGAGCGTGATAAGGCCACGTTTGAAAGGCGAATCAACCCAATCCTGTATAGCTGCCACTGCGGCATTCGCGTAAGCTTGGGCTACCTCTCGGGTCCTCGCCAGACCGCTTGATTGCTGCACTAATGCGAAGGCTCGATCCACATCGCCCACCTTGGAAAATCTTCGCTCAATGAGCTCATTGAGCTGGGGATATTCCTGGCAGGCAAACAGCACAGGCCCCGTAGATAGGCCCAATCTGAGATCAGCTGCGGCCGGCTTTCCTAGAAGGCTCTGATCCGCAACAAAGTCAAGTACATCGTCGATGAGCTGGAACGCGATACCAAGATTCCTACCGTACTGGTACGCGGCTTCAGCCATCTGGTCATCACAACCTGCTAACGTGACCACACCTTTGCATGTGTATGCTAGCAGGGATGCCGTTTTCAGAAAGCTCTTTTCAATATAGTGAGGAAATCGCTCACTAATCTCGGTATTTTCTAGTTGCATAAATTCACCGGACACCAGATCGACGAGTATTTGTGATATGTAGTTGTTGTTCTTTACGCAGCCAATCTGTGCGAGCATTTCAGCGCATCGTGCGAGCACAAAATCGCCTCCGAGGATGGATTTCTTTTGGCCCCAGAGGGGCGTGGTTGAGGGCTTCCCACGACGGGTGTCTGAACCGTCGATCACGTCGTCATGTAGCAGAGATGCTGTGTGAATCATTTCCGTGATTAGCATAATTGTTCGCTGACCAGGAATAAGTTCAGGTTCGTTTTTCAGATGCATGTTGGCTGCGCGCCCCATTAAGCAGACGATCACAGGTCGAATTGCTTTGCCTTGCCCATCAAAATAGTACCTGAAACGATGCGAAAGTGACTAATCAATATGGATAGTCCACCGTAACGGGTTAGCAACTTCTTGACCGCAATCAATTATGATCGATAATGAAATTTTTGAAAGTACGTTTAGCTGATCCTTGTTTATTTTTAACGAAATGATTCTAATATTTATTATAATATACATTATGTCTGTTCGTCGTTATACGATAGGATCGATAACGATTTACGTAATACATCTTTTATTAGCGCTCCCATTAGAGACATTGGCTGAGTCGTAAAGGTGATCACAGTAAACTGTACAAAACGGAATTCTCTAGTCCTGCATAAACGCTTGTTTAAAACGAACCTGAGCATTTATTCAGCTATCCTACAAGTATTTAAATTGATTTTCTAAATTCTGAACTCTCGTAACCCGCATAAAGGGGTGTGAATGCAACACAGATAATTTAATGTCCAAACATCAACAGTGACTTCAAGGTGCCGCATTATTTTAAATATATGCACTGTTCTGTAGCGAACAAAGAGTTAAACATTTAATTCGATATATTTCATTAATTGGGTGAATAGGCAATAACTATGAAACCTCATTTTCTCATATAGAAATCTCATATAGATCGCTTCAGTCTTTTCTTGTCATCTTGCACAAAAATAAATCCGGAGCAAAAATCAGCATTAAGTCAATAGTGTTTGAAGATTACAAATTTCGCTTCAGCTTTGATAAAGTGCATGCGCCCACTGTCATTCATTCGTTACGGGCGCTCTTACACATCTCTATATACAAACCTACTTAATTGAATAGCGTAATATTTGTGAATGTTCAACGTACCTGGACAGGGCGTACAGTTGTTTCATTTCGTTCTCCCCGTCGCGACTCAGCTCGACCTGGATTTCATCGTAAAGTGTTCTTATGTCATCTTTCGTTAGTTCAAACGGGTCGTCCTGCTCTTTTGGTAGAGGATGAGCTGTTATCGACAATCCCTGACATTGTATAAATCTTGAAGGCAACAAGGGGGCTCCTGAGTTCGAGCGACTGCGACAAATCCAAAAATTACCGGCACACGCTGCTGTGACAATTGCAGCAGGGGAAAAGGCTTCGGTTGCAAAAGTCGAATTTGAACGGGCGGCAAGTGCCACCATCTTTTTCAACTGAAGCATCTCCGTACGGCCAGATCACGCGTCGAGAGCTTTGTTCTAGATCAGTCACCAGAACAATCTTCAGCGGAATCTGTGTAAATCTTACACGCTGATGACCGCAAAAATGGACAGTCAATTATGAAACCACTGATTCCGCACTAGAATTGATTACTGTTATTAACTTCCTAAGCCAGCTACACCTTTATTTCTATTTCACCAAACCGTCACTCTCTTCTATGCATATTTCTATATATGTAGATATATTGTATAATAGAAGGTTAAAGTATATCCACGCCTGCCACACCTTCACTGATGTTTTTAAGTGATGATACGAAAGTAGGTTATCTTTTCTTTTTGGTGATGTCCTCCGTTACTAATTTGGCACCTCACCTACTATCAATAGTTCAACAATTTCACCACGGACCTACTGCAGCAACAACAAATAGCTACAGACCGATCGATCACATCACAGCTAATTCAACTTCTTTTTAGAACTTTAACAGGTGCCTTCTCGATAGGACGTACGAGATTATGTTTCCTGTTTCAGTAACTAATAATAAGCAGTATTTGCAGGTGAATTTTCAACGGTACTGAACGTTCTGCAACAGGTAAGCTGTCAACAATGCTAGTAATAAGTGGTATTCTGCTAGTGGCCGCAGTGTGTCCAAAAGAGCTGGGATTCCGCAAAGTCGGAGTAGTTTAGTTGACGTTTAGTTATCTCTCTCTCTCCTTTTGATGTGAATGTATGTACCTTTCAGATGTACCTGTGATCGTTTGTCGTGGGGAACGCACCTATTCGCCAATCATTTCACACTTCCTTCCGTGGGCTTTCGCTCTTCCCTAATGTCAGATGTTCTTTTACGTTTTCTTACATAGTTTGCACTCTCGCCAACGCCTATTGCTCTCCGTTGAGCTCTCCCACTTGTACGATGTATTCTCCGCACCTTTCTTACTTTCGCCTGCCTTTTATATTTCGGGGACGTTCTTACGCACATATGCACGCACAGTCAACGATGCAGCACACAGACACGCTTCACTTTTACACACATACACAAAGGCATGTAACAGCTTCGGTTTCTCTCGCCTATACACGTTTCGCTGACTTCTTTTATAGAAAAATTTCCTTCTGCAGACGTTGGGGCTGTCTTCAGCGCTTCTCCAGCAGTCATCGCTGCCGTATCCACAACTACGGCCGCCTCTGCCGCGGAAGAAGAGAGGGTCAAACTAAACCGGGTCACTTCGCCGACAGGACGACAGTAAAATGGCCAGACAGCAAGCTGACAAATCGACAGCAGAACTGATCTTCGCAATAGCCAGCAATAGCACTCCTCACATTTATCTTCCCTTCTGAATGATGATGCTCACGACGGTGTTCAGACAAAGCTTTCCACTCCAAATCTGCTGTCGGTGCCGTCAAAATGCGTTAAAACGAATTCTTACAAAAAGGAAAAAGCTTCGTTGTCCCCGACAGAGGCGTTGCTAAGCGCTGCGATGCAGAGCTTCGGATCGCCAGCAGTCAAAGCCAGGTACCCTCAACCCATTGAAGTTCACCACTTTCGACTTCGGAATTGGCTCTTTATTAAGTGACACTTCAGTGGTTGTTATAGGCAACGGTACTCGATATTCCTACTGTTCTACTGTTACTGCTGCTACCAGATATCTTTGCTATTGTGATCAGGCACACGACATCGCACCCATGATCGCTTATCAATGCTTAAAATTATTACAGTATCAAACACTAGCGGTAAAATCCTTTCACTCAAACAAGATAGCATAGAGATACAGGATTAATTGACTAAACTCGGCTTTAGACAAATACGATGAAAATCAATGCTTTGGGCGCTCTGTATCTGGTGGCGCCCTATTGAACGAATTTCGTACAGGTTAAATTCGCCCATGCCCGTGCGGCTCGTGGGGGTACCTTTAATTTCAACTTCTCCGGCTCTGTTTAGTTGCTCTGTTTATCCTCAAGATCTGTCTAAGGTTGGCGCGAGGCTAAGAGTCACGCGCCTTTCCGTCGTGGCATTCTTACGCCTCCTCGTTACCCCAGTCTTTAGTTAACCCAGCACCTTCACTAAGTTCTTAGTCGTTTTACCGGTTACCGCACATGTCGACGGGATATACTCGAACGTGGCTGACACCAACTAGTTTCCTGCTAATTTTCTGCCAAACACCAACGGCTTATCACAGCCCAGATGGCGGTCACACGTAAAAGTGGATAAAATTCATTTCAGTACAGCCGACTCACACGATTGTTTCCGTTATTTTGATCTCTGTCCCCTCGTGGTGCGGGCGTATTGCAGGAGCAACCTTGTTCTGGCTCAGTTGGTTGCCTGCTCCCGGGAGCACGTTCACACTCACCCAAAAGCAAAACAGATGATGACCTCAAAGTGATTTCGAACGACACAAGAGCAACCAAACAGATGGTGGCGCAGACCCAGTTGTTGCACCCGGAAGTGCTAAGCAGTGGCGGGCAACTGAACAAGCGTACTTTCGTCGCTTGAATTGGATAAAGTCAAGCAGTGGTACAGAATAGAAACAGATGTTTCACTAGATTTTATGACAAAAAAAGACTTCCTTAAGACTACTGTATGAGTCAGAAAATTAGCACGAGCATACATCATTTCCTGTAGTAAAATAGAGCTATTCGTAGTATGAGCTATTAGTAGCATGAGACTGCAGTGGTTACATGTAACGCGATGTCTGCAATTTTTAATTACACTGCGCCACGAGAGACATATGGGTCGACCTTACATAATAAAAAGTTCCATTAATACACCATAGAAGCCTTTTCCAACGAAGGAAAAAATAAAAATGCGTATTTCTTTTCGTGACAGTATATATGTTCGGTTTTATATTGGGTGTGAATATTAGCCAGGTCGAGTTAAATCAGGAGTTAAATAACTCGTTTTCAATTTATTTTTGGATACGTACCTTCCATTTTCCCGTCTGCGTTTACCCTTTGTACAGCCACCTTAAATTATAACGTAGAAGATGCATTAGTCTTTTTTCGATGTTAATTTTACCCCAGTGTACTCACGTTTACTTTTTACCCCTTGTTCTACTACCAAGACTATTAAGGCACAATTTAAGAGTTACTATTGTATTTCACGGCCAATTGTTCCTAAGTTTTCGTTCATCCTATGAAGTTCCTATATTTGGAGGATTTTATAGAACGAACTTCAATGACATTCATTTTGACTTGTTTTTTAATCAAATGAATCAAAGCTGTGATTTTGTAATAAGTTGATCACCTGTGTCCAACTTCCCGGCGCGGCCCCGCAGTCGACGATAGACATTCCTGGCTTCAGAATTGAATACTTCGCATCGATTTCGATCAATTTGTAAGCGCTGCGCGCGCGGTAATTCTCATAACTGCGAGTGAACAACAATACATGGGCTGACTCAAAATAAGTAGTATATTCGCATGAAGAGTTGTTAGTTACCCTTATTATACATAAATTTAAAATTTATAATATAATCTGATAATGGTAAGACAGCCAACGTTTTTGCAATGCCAAGTATCTATGCTTAATAACAATATGTGAGTATATTGATAGTACGAAATGTTTTTGTATATGTATTACAAAGTTGGATCGGTATTTAACGCCCCACAGTGCACCACAGTCAGCAGCGTACGGTGTGCTGGCACGGAGTCGCCGCAATTGTTAAAGTACGGTTAAGTACGGTACCATCAAAATGCAAGTTTCGACAAAAGCTTTTAAAATTTTATTTGATAGTGCCATATCGATTAGGCATTGTCAACTTACCGAGATTTTTTCACGTACGGATCGTTTAGTTGTCGAGTCAACCAGTCTTGAGCCGGTTTACCTTTTCCTTTGAGATTCTTCGGTACGACACACAGCATTGGCGAGCAATGTAGATCCCGAATAGGATAGACTCGAGGCTGCACAAACGGTGCTAGATGATGTAAAAAATACACCCTTTGCCGACCTAGCAGCACCTTAGTTAATTGTTTCTTTAATATCATTATTTTTCGCCATGAAACGTATTCAAGTACGACAGGCTTCCAATAGTGTATATTATCGCGGATGTAAAAGCGGTGCCTTGTAAAATACGCAGAGCTGTCAGAGGTATACTAACGTATCGCTTGACGAAACTAACACCACCAAAACTGTTTCCATAGAGCTCACAATATATCAGTAACACAGGCTATCTGATCTGGATGTCACTGCAATCCCAGCCCTATGCAAAACATAAACGCCTTTATTGCGTCAAGTTAGCTTGTCTCTGGCCGTAAAAACGGTTCTCAGCTGTTTCTCACCTGCAAGAAACGTAACTTTGGCACAATTTCGAAAGAGTATAACAGATTCTAGTAAGAATTTCGAGGTATGTCTTGAAGCGTGAGGCACATGGTAATATTTTCATATATTTGGTATTTTCGAATGGTTGCCGTGAATAGCATGATTGCGGGCTCAATTCAGTGTTGTGTACGTTATTTAAATTCAATGCTTTTAAGTTAAAGTTAATTTAGGCACACCTACAGAAACGTATGCCTAGCAATTCGCCGTCGATGGTTATTAACGTCAAACGTTGCAGAAAATGAAAGGTTTACTTTGTCTATCAAGTACAACTCTGTCGTAGTAAAGGAGAAAGGCCGCTAGTTCTTCACAGACAGCTTTTGATGTCTCGATTATGCGAAAACGCGTATTGGACTTTGTATGTAAATCAACAATAGGGAGGAGTCACGAAATAATTTACTGTTAAGTAGCGACTGAACTCCTGAAGACAATCTCTTCATTAATTGATTTACATAGATTTTACTGCGGCGCTAAGGCTAAATAAATTTGGCGATTCATTTTCATCTCTTTTTTGCTAAGCATAAGGTTTGAGGTTACGTGCCTTAAACCTAGACCTGTAGTTGCGTGTCTATCAATTTAACTCACCGGATCCCCACAAAAATATCTAATTTCCAAAATTTGCTTCAATTATAGACGTATGAGGACATTTGGAGGTCTGTTTTTTTCTGTCTGCGGCTGTTGTTAACTCACAGAGCGTTATGTCTTCACGACAGTAGTTTTCCATCAGCTTACATCACCTGTTACTGCAAAGTGTGTATTTGAGTGACGAGGCTTGAGTCATCTACTGCGGCCTGTACATATACCATTGACGACTCTCTTTCGGATCCAAAAGGCATCAGCAACGTATTCTGCTCTATCGCGGTTCGAGTATGGCTGGCTGTCAATTTTGCAAGGCACCATCACCAGCCTACGTTTGCCCTCGATGTACGGCTCGATTTTGCGGCTTAAGGTACACTGCAATGGCGTGAGAATTGATTACGTGTTTATCTCATTATTTTTGACTTCGTTTCTAAATTCTACAGAATCTAGCGTGCGTATTGTAACCACTGAGAGACTCAACGTGTGCATAAAACTCTATTTACAAAATAAAAAATACGCGATAATCGCCGTTTGTGCTACTTGAGAGCTTATATTGTCTACTCGAACCAATACGAGTTCTGGTCAGTTTTTATGAAGGCTGTATAATAAATTCCTTTTATACATGGTTAATGTGAAAACCGAAGTTGCTTCTCTGTCACCTTGTGGGCACTGTTTTTCTATTACAGATGCTACAAGTGTCAGGAACACTCCAACTGCAGCGAGGGATTCTATCGAGAATGCGTTGAAGCGGAAATGAGACAGCAAATTCCCGATCAGCGAAACAAGGAAAAGGTTTGAGTTAGAGAAATGTTTGTTTGCTGAGATAATTTAAACTAGCCACTTACCTATTGTTAACAAGATGTTGTAATTCAATGTCGGATAAAAGGTTCAACTAAAACGTTGTAAGTATGGGGCAAAACTCGTTCGTGTTAACAACTGTATGTTGCTATATAATGAGGTGTGATGATTCCGTAGTGACTTGCACATTAAATATCAGAGAGAGAAGAGACCTCGGAATCAACATGTGTTAGATAATATCCGTTGTTAAACTCTAGAAGCATGATTATAAATACAGCATATCGAAGTGCGGTTACGCTTATAGGTCGACCACGACGGGAATCGTATGGGAGAATCTTCGAGATAATTGTACGATACGTCTTTAACATTACTATTACTGGGCTAATGTCACTTGTTAATTAGGAGGCGAATATCAAATTAATGGATTTATGGGATATGTAGATTTATTGAGTTTGCTATTGAATTCGCCTTATTGACTGCCCTCAGGACGGATAAGATCTCCATCTCTTTTCAAGCGTATCCATATATGTTTGCATAGACACAAGATGCAGGTACATTAAACGCATTGAATTTTTCTAACATTATTGAGGGGCCGACTTAAATAGTCACAGTAGCTTCGCATATATCATAGTCGTAATGATCTCTTAAATTCTGAAGTAATTCTAATAATAATAACATTGTCAGAATATTTAATTTATAACAGGCAAATATGACATGATAATCGTATTTAAGCATACATGGAATACGATTCCGTACATTAAGAAAATCATCCAAAATATTTGTGCCTGGAAAATTTACTCTTATTTTTTAAATATTATAGGTGCAAGAAGCACTTGTTCGAGAGCGGTTGACTGTATCTGATGATGATGCATTGGAGAGCAGATTAGCCTCAGTCGACCTCGATAATCCCGACGAAGTCCTGCAGGTAGGAAAACTACCGCTGTTGTCTACAGTTTCGCCTGTATACTAAGGTCTTTTTTGTTTCGTTGAAATTTTCGTGTTTGACTTCTTAGTTTACAGACGTACAAGACGCTAAAGCGCTTATCACGTACATTGGCCAGCTACTCCTTTTTGAGAACATGTTATATAGAAAAGAAATTTGAATATATCACAGATATGTCTCAATGTCTTGACATTTTTCGCGGAACGGTCGCAGCAGCGGAACAGCATACATTAACGTTTGCTTAAATCGTATTTTGTCCACCACTGTTTCAGGTTTTGACAAATGAAGAGCGAATGACTTTCGAGAATTTAATGAAATCAAATGAAATCGGCACATACATTACTGTATGGAGACCTTGGTGGACCGCAGCAAAAACACGTATTGAAGAAGTACGCATAATTGTTTTACTCTGTTCATTGGTACAATTTCCAAACCCGTCATTCGATTAGGAATGACTTTTGTCTAAACATTTACATGTTTCTAAACAATATCACAAAAGTTGTTTCTAACGGCATAGAAAATATCGCTAGTATATGCCTCTACATAACTACCGTATTTGGTCATAGGTGAAACCCTATGCAGGACATAATGAGCTTGCAAAGTTCAAGCAACAACGCAGGGAAGCCCGACCGAAAATTGGTGGACGAAAGGTGCAGAATCTGAATACCAGTACGACTAATACTGATTCTTCTAACGATGACAAGAAAAGCAACGTTTGGGATAACATGATACGTGATTACAAATCCAACGATGACAGTAAATCAAGTGGAGATCCATCTACGAACAAAGTGGTATCAACTAAAGACCTCGCAGGTGGTCTTAATGAGGAAGTTCTTGATGAAAACATGCCTAATATACTCGTTGAAATAGTAATGCCGGATACTGATGGTTCTCGGTTCGAGAAAAAGACTCGTATAATTGATAGCCGCTACCGCGGCAGGAACTGCATTGTAAGTGACGCCATTTGCAGGGAAAATACTGCAGAGAAACACACGGCAGTAGAGTCCGAAATTTCAGTTAGAAATCCTACAGAAGGGCTTCCACAAAAATGGAAAAAAGGCGGGCACGAAGTTTACGATGGCCGTACGACAGACATACAGCAGTCTATTGAGATAGGCAAGTATACCGGAGATTTCAAAAGCGACGCTAGTGAATTAACGGATGCGACTTCTGCTAATCAGAACATCCTTTTAGACACGTGGATTGAAGATTCTTCCGGGTCGAAAGTGTTTCCTGAATGGGAAAATCGAGAGAAGATTCTTGCCACAAACATTGTAAACTTGGTGACCGCATTTGCATTTACCTCGAGGTAAGTATATATAAAGTATAAAGTTGTTGTCTCTACTATAAACAAATCTATTACTAGTATTTGTCGAAATTGAGTACATGTCTTAACACTCTGCAATATTACTGCCCTAAACGAATTCTGTATTTTTCTATTAAGACAAAATTGTGTTAATATATTGTATATTTAACTGGATGGGAAATAGTTCGCAAAACAATTTCTCATCCAGTCAAATCCATTGTGAATACATTGAATTCTTTATAGGCTAGCTTAAAAATTGTCGAAAGACTTAAATTACGATCTAGGAAATAGTACAGTGGTAACGTGGGCATTGAGTACCCTGGTAAGCCAGATCCAGTGCCGTATATTTGCAAAAATAAGAAATTTTCAAATGAGCCCGCTAGATGTATAATTGACGAGACGTGAGACTAAAAAAAATTATGAGGGGCATTCCAGATTCAGTGCGGCTCGTATAAGGGGTCGTCAGGCCGCATATTATAAAGCAGACTCCATAAAAGAGTATATATATATATATGTTGGACAAAGAAATCTGATGATAAGTGGGTCTTCCTTTTTTGCTTGGAGTAGACTGTCTATGTTGTTGTCAGTCTTCATGCGGATTTTAAAAAATCCATGGAAATTTCCATGAAACAAACTGGAAGATTCTCAGTAAGTTCAAAACTTAAAGGGTCCAGAAATATATTAAAATGGTTCAAAAATGCCATTTTTGACACATTTGGATTTTTGATACAACAATTAATACTTTTTTAGAGGAAAGAATACTAGTTACCAATATGCTAATAATTTAAATAAGCTTCAGTGTTTTTGAAACTTTTATGCCTTTGTAGTTTTTTCGGTCTGCTATCAAATTAAAATGTGATCGTTTGGACGTCATAAAAACGCTACATTCTTTTGTATAAGTAGCGTGTTTGAACAACATTCTAACGAAGGTACACCTCTCAATATCGTCAGATGCACTGTTAATGTTAAAAAAATATATTCGTATAAAAGAAGGAACATTTTGAAATTAACTAGTGAATAGTTTCGATCGTGATTTGAAGAGGCAATCTTGGTAAATAATGGTTATATTGAATAAGCATTTTTAGCGCATTCTTTAGATACAGTTCCACCCATAACAAAAGGTCTTGTTTAGACATATATTGAGTTGTCGAAAAACTATTAGCTGCTCTTCTGGCTAGACTGCTTCAGAATGACAGATTTCACGTAATGTAAGTCGCGTCGGGTCGGTGTCGGTACTATTTGAGAGCTGAGATGCCCTCATTCAGACTTACGATAAAGCACTTCAAAAATGAGTGAAATTCCTGAAAAAATTCGCCGTATTTAATTACAATAAAGGCACAAATGCTGTCCAGGTCCATAAAAATGTGGGCCATTTATGATCAAGCTGCGTTATCGAAAGAGAAGGTTCAAATATAATTTTGCCGCTTCCGTTTTAGAAATTTCTATGTGAAAGTGCTTCCTGTAGTAGTTGATCAATTCAGAAACAGTTAATGAAATCATTGGGGAAGTTTGAGAAAGCTGGCACGTGAACAAGCATAATGTCACCAAGGAACCCAAGATCTACCAACAAATAGTTGGGAAAACCTAGTCATATAAAGACATAACCGAGTTTACTCAATCGTATTTCTGTGTACTGAAACGTCATGGAATCGAGCTCTCTATGATGAAAAGTATGAGAACATTTGGAAACAAAAAATTATCATCTACGATCTATTCCAACTTTAAATCGACGGCAAAGAAGTTACGCTATGTGTTTGGTGGAACTGGAAATGGATCATGCATTATGAGTTACTGCTGCGTCAACGGAACAATTGATTCGTAACAACAAGGTAAAAACAAACCATTGAAAAATATCTACCGGAATTTGTGAACTGACAAAGCGCCAAATTTTATTATGGTTGTGTCAGACCACGTGCGTCTTTAGCTACATTGGAAGAACTCGAATGGGAATGCATTCGCTGTTTGATCCGGATCTTGCACCATAACACTTCCATCGTCTACTTAATCTCTGCAGAACTTCTTGAATGACGTTAATTTAGTTCCATGTTTATCTTAATAGAAAGTTACAAAAATCAATCGTTACATCCTTTGGCAGTCCTACAGAGATGAAATTAGGGTGGTGCGAAAAAATGGCAGAAGGCCGAGCAATAGTTTAGCAATATCATTCTAAAATATACGAAATATTTTCTTCATTTTTAGTTTAAAGCGACCAGCGTTTTTTCAACAGAGGGATATATACACACATACGCCTGTAAGACCAATATGTACTTAAATTTATTTCGTTGTTGCTTTAGGTTTTTCAATGGTGACGCACTGGGCATGGAGGTCGATGCCGCCGTCACTCTAGAATCGATCTGCGCAGTGCTCAGAGGACGAAATTTCCAAACGGTAAGTAATGAGATCATAAAAAATCTAATGCTTAACGTTGTAAGAAGCAAACTTTTAGAAACCGGATAAGGCTTAGCTAGCCTTGAATTTTTGTATAACTCGAATTACGTCGTGCAAGAGTAAACGCAATGCCGTGAACATAAACGCATCCAGTCAACGTGAAACGGAGATTTCTCGTCATTAATTGCTGTAGGACCTTCAATATTTATAATGCGACGAATAGTCTGTGATGGGTCCGTACCCCGAAAAAAAAATACTGACAAAAGCAAGTTTATTTGGGTGAAATAACTCAACTGCCTTTACGATACTGCTGCCTTATGAGTTGTGTGCAAGTCCTTAAGAATTTAGCCAATACAAATTCAGACCGGATTATGTTGCAGATCGATACAGCCGTTGGTGATATCCTCCTGCAAGATATTGTTATCAGAAACGCTAATCCTAATGTTCTTGTGTCTGATGTCAGGTAAGGCAACATGCAGATAAAACAGAAATATTTATTAACAAAACATCTGGTCAGCTTTTATTGGCTGATTAATTATCGCCACCGGAGTATTTTCGATTGCGAAATTCACCCATATTTATTGTATCCCCTGGAAATTCTATCAATCAAATGAATGTCTTAATAATTTTGAGAGTTTCACGTTTGGTACCTCCGCTAAATTCTGCTTCGAACGGCTAGCTCCCAGAATGAAATGAAGCCTGTCTACGCTCGGTTTCGAACTCGAAGGACCTTACGTATCCCTCAGCCTAGCACCTGTACTGCTTCATGATGAAGATATCAAATAAACACTTCAACAGTGATATGAGAGCAACCAAACTATTACCGTAATTCTGATTAAAAAAAAGCTTTCAATTTTCTGCATTTAGAAGAAAAATTGCCTGCCACAAGCAACAGTCAATCAGCCTGTGTTAGATTAACACTGTTTGTATCGGAAGTAGACCTAACAATAATAACGTGTATTTCAGTCTAATACTCGATACCGCCGAATATGTTGAACGAGCTTTGTTCGAAACACGGAATCTATTAAAAGCTGCACGACGCTCATTGAAGAAGCAACCATTGTTAACTAAATCCAGTGAGATTTCTTTTGAACAGCTTCGAAACAACTCGCGCATCGACTTGACTGATGCTTTGCTACACCATAAATATTTTAAGCTTCTCATGCTTAAAGTGGATTTTTATTTCGATTGGGCAACGAAGAATACAATACGTTTGCGGGAATGGACCCTACCTGTCATTTCCCTGCAAAAGAAAAATCGACAATGACTTCTGTAAAATGAAGAGTACTGCACAGGCCGAAGAAAAATGAATTCGTGTTTTATTAATACGTTGATTTCGAACATGCTGAAGACACTTTAGTAATCTACTGTTAAATTAATGGTTTCCTGGTTAACGTGATAACGACTCTCCTTTTTTTTTTTATGTAAATGTGTTAGTGTTGTGTAAAGGTAAAGCTATGTTAATTGTAAATAAATTATAACAATTTTGTTTGACCGTTGTTGTAGTGAAGGTTGTGTAAATGTTCATGGTCTTTTTGTAATTACTGGTCGTCTATTTTAAGAATGATACAACACATTTAACCTGTGAGTGCAAACCGGCGAGTGGTAGATAAAGGTTGGACAAGGTAAGAAAATGGTCTGTCTTCAATGCCAATCCGTCCCATTAATTCTTCGACTTGTTCCAATGTGTGTGTGATTTTTGTGTTATGGTATGTTATTATGTTAACATAGATAAATGCTCACAGGACGAAACGAGTAAAAACAATTGATGCTATTGGCCAGTTTTGTGGAAAGTAGTTGTTTTCACCCAAGATAATAGTAGCAATATTTGAGTTGTTATCGGCACGATGGCTACTTTGCTTGTCGATCACCCATAATTTATATTTAACAAATTGTAGCATTTGATATTTTTTAGCCATAACAGTTAAACATTAAATGAGTGAAATATCGTCGTTATGCAATGCGTTTCGACAAACCGGCTCAGCGCGTTTCCCTAATGTTATTTGGTTGAATGAACAACTTTGGACGATTCGTGTTTTCTAAGATCTTTCGTGCTACCATAAATGAGTTAGAATTTTACCAATTACTAGGTGATTAATACTTTAGGATACACTGTTATTAGCCTGAATTCTGAGGTTTTTACATTGACCTAGGTATAAGCTGCTCTTGCTGGTTCCACATTCTTAAATTTGTACAAGTACTGCAAGATAAAATGTACAGACAAAACGGGACTGCGATATTTCGTTTTCTCTTGTTTGATTTTTTTAAGCTTATTATTATGAGGTTGATTTGCTAGTAATTGTAACGTTTGTTGTTGTTGTTGTTTAGAATAAGTAACCAACCTTAGCGAGATACGGTTTCCGCAGCTTTAACTGCAAAACGGCACTGAATTACACATTACACATGCATTCGAGTTACGTAGAAGCAGAGTTTTCTAGGAAAGAAACCTAAAAACTACTTCTTAAAAGCCAATTAGCTAGTTTCACATGTTAACTGGGGTTCACAAACGAGTGCCTGAAGTTCACACTTACAACATCTATGGCAATATATACTACTGGCGCATTGTTGCTAGACATTCTGTCCGCGGCTTTTATCATGGATTCTCTAGATAGACGGCGAATGTTCGCTGTAAGTACCCCAGTCGGAGGTGCATGTCAGCTACCCAATTGAGAAAACATCTCGTTATCTTGTTGTTCCTATTTTCTACTGTTTACTGCAACATTCTGCACGATAGGTTTGATAAACATACGATTCGTATTAAACTACTGGTGGCAGCCAGACAGTTATTTAGGAGATGTTCCTTAGTTGTGCTTTTAGTGAGGTCCGGGGGTGTATGTTTCCGTTATTCTCGGAAAGCTCGGTTTTTAAATACTCCACGCTATACACAATAAGTATGATGGCTGAGAGCTATGATTGTACGAGATGTGTGTTGAGAAGAAAAAGATTTCATGTGGCTTCGTATATTAATTCATATCGCGAGGGAAGAATTGGTCGATAAGGGCATAGAGATGACGCACAGAGGCTTAGCATCATTAAGTCTCGTTAATTTCATCACTTAGCGGTTGAAGGTTACCTGAGATAACTATTACTCCATAGTAGTAGTTCTCCGTATCTTTATTAAACTAAGGGTCGGTGTCTATTTACTGCTCTTTGATGTCTGATTTGTTCCCTGCAGAGACTACTCTATCGAATTATCATTCACAGACATTTTATGCGCTTGCAGCATACGTATATGACACGAGTGAAATGTTTTTTGAGATTCCATAATCACCCCCAGAATTAGAGAAGGATTAGTGATGACTCCAAAAAAATACGCGATCTTAAACCACCCCGACCCATTAATTTTGGATTAATCAAACTGAACTGGTGTAAGCAGTCAGGCTACCGGGCACAACTGGAATTCCAATATAATCCCGGCAATGACGATTTCCAATAACTCTGCTTTTTGTGCTAAATCTTTAAATCTGTCCTATTGTGGGACAAAAATCGCTACAATATTTTTCCGTCTCTTTAACCGCGAACTTTTAAAATACAATAGCACGCCATTTCGTGTCCCTCTAAACACTTTCCCAGAAAATAATAAATTTATTCACGTGTTATTCAAGAAGAGGAATTGTAAAGTATAAACGTTACACCGTCAGCACATTAGCAAAGCTATTTTAGGTTTGAGCCTTTGCCATTAATAGGCATTTCTTTCCTTAAATCTTTATACAGGCGATTCAATAATCCTATTCAGCTAATACTTTATAGGTTTTTTTTAACAATAACATCTCTAGCTGATATGCTCATATATCAAAATTGTAGGCTTCTTTGTGTCTACATTATTTTTTGTGTCAGATGCTAGACAGTTCCACTGGATGACGACGGAGCTTAAGCACAATCGAATCGCGTAGTCTTGTTTCACGTGTGCCTCTCTTAGGTACTTAAAAGACAGGACATTTGGACCAATCCCATAATATTCTTCACTAATATAAGTAAGACAACGTACCTTGCAAAGTTTAAATATGAGAGTTTTTTTTCATTTGCGCTCTACTAAGGCGCCGAACGTTCTCAAAATTTAATCGGTTAGATTTGTAGTTTCTTAGGGGAACTGTTGAAGACTGGGAGTGCGATGTAATAGGAATAAACTGTTACATAGTATTAGGTTAGGGACGGTGAGGGATCTCTAATGCCTCCAAACGTTTCACGCGTACAACGTTCTGTCATTTGTGTACATAACACATATATAGCCCTTGAGAAACATTCGCAGTAAGATTTACGTAGGCTAGAAGTGCAAAAAATCGTAATGCGCACCCCCGGCTAAGCTCTCTTTAGCAGCAGGCAATAGGTCGCTCATTTAAAAGAATTATTTGAATGCAACGTGAAATTTATTTTAGAACATCGAATTATCTCTGCGCCGTTCGACACGTCGCATGCTGATATAATATGGCAGACTCATCATTCATGGAGATGTCCTACGGCGCATGGCAGTGCTTTCGGGTAGCTTTCAGACTTAAAAAGCTGAGTAATTCTGGCTGATATGCTCATCTTGCGTCATATATTAATAATAATTCTGCGCGCTTGTTTCCTTATTGTAGCAGAAATATTACTCGAGACATACGGAAATCTCATTGTCATAAGACCCCCCGCGCGATTTCGTAGAGTACATAATGAGCGAATAATCGTTGTGTAATAATAAATCTGTGTTACATAATTTCCTACAGTTAAATTAATCAAATCTATATAAAAACAGCAAATTGGTACAGCCTGCTGTGAAGAGTCTTTTGCCTGACGAACTAACAGGGACATCTTTATGGCTATTTGTTATAGAGTCATAGTAAATTTAACTGTTTCTGTTTTCTATACCTCATTTCAAATATTTTGCTATCTCACACATCTTTACGATAAATATAATACTGGTAGATCAATATCTCATTTCTGTTTCATATATTTTTAACGGATGGACCGTTCATTGGGCTCTCCAACGGAACCGCCACGTACCCTTGAAGTTGTGGCGTTCTTGAGTGAATGAGAAAAAAGGTGTCCAGCGATAGTAAATATACATCACAGATGGAAATCTACAGGTCCTTTGCAGGTATTGGGTCGGAACTGGAGCCACTGTATAGAACTTAGTGATGAAACTTTAACGTCAAAAATGACACCCACCGCCAGATCTTACAGTTACGAAACACAGTTTTGCATGTTCAAAAAATCAAGTAAGAGAATAAAGCGAGTTATATCAAGGTAAAAAAAAAAAATAAACATTGTGTTCGTTGAGGAAAACAAAGATGAGGTAGAGAGAAGCAACAACGCGAAATTATCCGCGCGGTAGCTTTATAAACATATATAAGCAAAACACGGTCAGAATAAAAATAAGTGCAGCAATAGCGAGCCACCCCGGTGGACGTTGACAATGATACTGGTGGGCGATGTCAGCTTCATCACACAACCTTATCCCCTGATTCAATGAAACATTTTTTCAGCGGTAATTTCCGACTGTAAAGCTGTCGTCAGGTTTCTTGGTGTGAAGCCTATTATTAACAAACCAGGTTATACCCTTAAGTATTTGTCAATATAAGTTCAGTTGGTAACTAGAGCGGCTGTATGCTCGCTGAATACTTTTATATCGATACAAAAATTAATGCCGTTATAATGATATATGTGTATGTTTACGAGTCAGAGTTTACGAAGAGTTGACATTAATGTTTTCTTGGCCGCTCTTAGGCTTTGAATTCCTTATAGTTTCTAGCTGTAAAGTCTTTAGACTTCACTACAACGGAAACTGTAGTAAGATGCACGCACTTGGCCTCAAAGCCACGCACCCCCCAAAATATGTATTTCGTCAGCCTTATTGAAATACCCCTCATTAAAATTCTCTACCGCTGAGGCGCTTTCCCTGTGGAAAAAGATTCCGTGAAACTGTATTGGGAGCATATCCGAATTCTAACAGGCGACTCACTCAAAATTTGTTTATGCTATCAACCCCACCAGCACCTCGTCCATCATCGGAACAATGAGTTTGCTTACGATGATCAACGTGTGGTTCTTGGTAAAGGGCAAACCTTTATATGCGGGGGAAATATTTATTTTGAATTAAAAAATCGATACAACGCTGTGAAGTAAAAGCAGACATACTCGTTTAGCTCAAAGGTGCACAGAGAATACAGAGAAGGTATGCAGAGATACCTCACTTCCTTTCCCTCCTATGTGTCACTGATAGGTCCATGATCATAGTTAGAAGAGACGTTTTTTAGCTTGTCAGTAGTGACTCAGCGAAAATAGCTCTTTCCAGACTTCAATAATAGAGAAATACTATTTTTAAATTGTTGCAATAGGTTAATGAAGTAGCACGATTTCATTTAACATTATTCGTATATTGGAGAAGAAGTCGAGCCTTTAAAGCTAAAAATTCTACGTTTGTTACTACCGACCCAGTAAAGGGACACCACGTAAATAATTATTACAGGTGCCATCTGCCAATCGGTCACATGGAATTGGTGGATTTATAAAATTCGTTTATAGCGGGAACCAAGGGTGTGTAAACGCATAGTAGGCTGGTTGCATAACATGCGATGTTTTGCATTTAACGGCATATATTCATAAGAAACTATTAAAAAAAAAAACTATTTTACTCTATTTTTTAGTTTTAATTTTTATTATCTACTTAATATATTTTTTACTTATTGTTTCGATCGCAATGAATTCATATTCAGTTGCAAGAAATCAGTAAAAAAAGCTTACAGCTTCTTAGGTTTCTCAATAAGTTTGCTAAAAAAGTAAGAATGATGCTTTAACGCTTTTTTTTTTTCTCAAAAATACGCTACAGTGAGTTTTCTGCAGTTATGCTAAAAAAACGTATCCAGTGTAAGTACGATAATTCTAGGAACTGGGTAGTCTACCTTCGAGTTTTAGCGCTGCTACGGCTCGAAATGTACCGTGTTCATTGTTTCCATTGACAAGCAAAACGCGATTACCAGGATTTGGTACGCCATCATTTTCCTAACACATCACTGGAATAAAAACGCGGAGTAATTACTGTTTGCATATAAAACCGAAAGGTCACTGGTACGTCTGGGGATAATGAAAACAGGCACTGTTAAAATAATAATTGCTGAGAAAAGCTAGAATGTCCTCTTTTAAAACAACTTTTAACTGACTGCCATATAGATGCCTTTCGACAAGGGCAGAAAATAAAGTTAGGATTAGTGCATGCGGTGCAATTGACCTTGTTTTCCCGTTTTTTTTTTTAAATTTTTCCTTATCTTGTAACTATAGAAACGAGATCATTTCTGCATTCGTCTTTCTTGGTTTCAATTCAAAAATATCTGAGATTTTTCTTGGGTTACTCCGTAGCTCATTTACATTCCTTCAGTTCGTTTATAGGCTTCACGGAACTACTGCCCAATTAATACCTGCTATTTCTAATATTTGCTCTTCAACATGCGTAGAAAACGCTAAAGATCTTTCCAAATTTGTTAACAGGAAGTCAATAACATACACAGATTTTTGATCTATTCTCCCGCAGCTCTTACATCTGTTTATTTCGATTTGAATTTGTATCGCTATCAGCAGCGGCCGTTTCAAAATCTTCCGCGTCACCGGTGCTTTTTATTCCTGTGCCATGGTTTCGTTCTCCATTGTAGCAGCGGCTGCCGCCGCTGCAACCTGCTGTAGTCACGTGATAGTTACATCGAGGACCCTTTCCTGCCTTCCGAGCAGGCAGTCGTTCGACCTCATTTAGAGTCCGCTGTTGGTAGTATATACAAAGTGAGGTGGCTATCGAAACACGATCGTCACTAAGAGATTATTGGATCGACGTACAGAGTTTATGCTGTGCTGTTTTCACCAATTCTAGTGCCCGATTGTTGCTGGTGCTCTTAAGTGCATTGTGTTCGAATCTTCACAATTCATTTGAGATGGCAGCTCTTCGCAATGGCTCTCTCCTCATTCCCAGACTGGTTCAAGCTCTGCGCGAGCGTAACCAATCATTTTTCGCGCACGTCGAGATGGGACCCCCCGATGCCATTCTTGGAGTGACCGAAGCCTACAAGAAGGATCCCAATCCCAAGAAGATGAACCTCGGTGTCGGTCAGTAGTCATCTTAGCGTACTTTTTATTACTGTCATTCGACAAATATTGTGGGGGAATTTGCATATAGCTTCGTGGTGTCAAACGATTAGCTTACCAATTTTACATTTGTGTAACTTGAAAGTGCTTCTGTCGTGTGGATATCATTTTGCGAAGTCATGGCTAACGGGTATATGTATACCAGTGTTATAAACCGAAGCACCTTTTCATTTCGAAGATCACCATATTTCGCTAAAGATGCAGTTCTGCTTGAAATAGAGTGCCCTTTAAAGGACATCGTTTGTAGAACGTATGCCGCAAAATGCAGACAGAGGATATATCTTTTAAACGCAATACCAGTGCAGTATTTGTCTGGTTTAGTTTACTACACGTGCTTCGTCTACGTTTGTTTAGTATTTTGTATGCTTTTATTATTCTGCAAATTTTAAACTTCGAGCTGAGCCTCAAATTTTCGGCGCGCGTTTTCTTTTGTTTTTTTTAGATGTTGTATAGACTTCATGAACGAGCTAATACAACGCCAAAACTTTAGTTCTTTTTTCAAATCTCACTTGAAACATGTGCTAAACTCTGCACAGCATTGAGGATCATTTCCGAAGTCTATCATCGAATCCCGCACCTCATCAGTCTGACCCGCTTTGAGCTTTAATCCTGTCATTTGATACATCACTTGGAACCGCCTTCGATATATAAAATAATAATAATGATAAATGCACCTAGTAAGGTAAATGATGCGATGCTTTTGTATTCAGCATTGGGATATGTTACATAAATGGTCGGTACACTGTGATTACCCGGGTAACTAATCATAGCTTGTTAAGTAAGGTGGTAGAAACTCTAACGGCGCTGTTTTTCTTAGTCGCAGTAAATGCTTTGTCTGCTCAGTACAAGCGTCCTCAATAACTTGTAACTGATGTATCCTATGGACGTGTCCGACTCAATTCCACGAGCAAACTCATTGGCCATCCAGTAAAAACTATCATAGCTTGTCCAGGAACGGGAGGGGCGATTGACTTTAAAAGTTGAAACGGAGAAAAAATATTCTACGATAACCCGGTAGTAGTCCGGTACAGTGCACTTGTGTAAATGTGTGACATGACAATGTCCTTCATGTGATCCCGTTTGAGATGGTCGGTATTACTGCACGGTGTTAACGGCGCGTGGAGTTCGACTAAACAGTGGCTGTATCCATTCTATCCATTCCACAAATGCAATAGTTGTTTATCTCATTGTGAACCCCATTGAGATTAATTAGGACAGAGCCTATCCGTCAACGCTAACCTTAAACGGCTTTGTAATCAAAAAACGGAACTTCTAAAGAAATTATTACGTTAGCTAATGAATGTATGTACACATCTATTTATCTGCAAATAAACTACAGGTTTTAAATGTACAGTTACGATGAACTTCTACGCAAAGCGAAACTTCTTTTTCACACACATTTCAGCTAGCAGATGAATCAAGTTAATTACTTGATATGAAGCGCATTTCATACTCTGTGGTTTTTTAACCACGTTACCCTGGCGAACTCAATGCACTAAATCGTTGAACTATATTTTTGTGAGCTCGTTTAAACCACTGTTGGTGAGGGCATTTGTGGTGGCTTGCCGGGGGTTTGTTGTACTGCCTCAATGCTGTTCTTAACACGCGTAGCGGTCAACGTCATTGTACTAACTAATCTTCACAGAGGGACTTCTGTTACTTCCTTCATCATTAAAAGTTAATTATATTATATATATTAATAAATAAGTAAACGGGGACATACATCTTCGTTGACGGTCACTGCGTGTTTATCTCATTCTGGAGTAACAAGAACTTAGAATAATTTTACATAGCGCACTCTGTTCTACAGTATGGCTATGTAATCTTATCAAGCTCATTCATCCGTTCGAAATTATCTTGATAGCATCAGCAATTCTTTCAGCAATACGACGGCTAAGATTTGGCTTATGATAATCGCTTGCCGTTAACTGCTTTGAACTGGCTATCAGAGAGCCGTTGAACTGGTTCCCTCTAGATTGTTTTGACAGCTAACCTATCGTGAAATAAAGGCGAACGGCCTTAAAGCATCCCAAAGTATTTAGGCGTATGTACGGGTAAGTAGGTAATGATATAAATAAGCCGTGCTAACCGACAACAATGACAAACCGATGAAACCTCTCACGAAACTAGAGGTCAATGAAGCGATGGCATAGTTCGTGCAAGACCAAAAGAAATACTCGTAATAATTGCCGAACTACAATTATGGCCTGGTCTGTAAATATATAATAGCTCTTAGGGCTTTCGTTGAAGTAACGACTTTTTGGCGTCCATCCTTGCAGCTTCAATGTTGCGCATTTTAAATACTTACTTCAAAACAGTATTCCTATGATAGTTAAAATATTCATTTCATCTTCGAGATTTTTGTCTTGATTTCTTACGTAGTCAACAGTTCACCGAATATACTTTAGATAGCCATGATATTGCGGTTTGAAAATGTTTTTAATAGCGAAGTCGTTGTGAGATCGCTTACTTGCCGTACCTTGGCTAAGCAGGCAGCGACCTGACCGCTTTGCTGCAGGAGCTTCACGTTGCTCCTTGCTGCCTCCTACATAATAGAGGTATTCGATGTTGTAAAAACAAGTGAAATTTTTCTATTGTCTTATTAAGCGGACAGTTTTCAAGAACCCCGGCTTCGAAATGGTGACCATACAACTGCACAAGCCACTTAAATATTGCTACGGAATCGCTGAATTTGTTAACTTTTCGTCATAATAACTCCAATTACTCTTCTTCGATCCAATAAAAATTATATATATATATATATATATATATATATAATTTCAATTTCTATACGTACCTAGCGAAATGTGAGTGAAATGAACGATCTGTAGTGATGACTGCAAAGTTGGTTCGGCCTTGAAACGGGTAACTGAATTTTCCTTCGTATTTTTCATGTGATTTTCATTATTAGTAGTAATCTAGTATTGATTTGTATTATCGATCGGTGATCATTTTCCATTTTGATTTTTCATGTGGTGCATGTCTACAGGGGCATACCGCGATGATGATGGCAAACCTTTTGTCTTGCCATCGGTTCGAGCTGCAGAGCGGCAGCTCATGTCAAAGAATTTGGACAAAGAATATCTACCCATTGGCGGCTTAAATGATTTTTGCAAGAACGCGGCCATTCTGGCTCTTGGTGACAATTCGGCAGTCATCAAAGAGGATCGTAACGCCACTGTTCAGGTGAGCATTAACTAATGAACTGAATGTATATGGAAATAAGGTAACATACATTTGGCTGTGCAAACTTTTATTCACGGTAGCTCTTTTTTGAGTATACCGTCTGCGTTCAGTTTTTGAGGGCGTACCTTTAGAGCTATGAGGAAACGTCTAGCAGAAAAGTAAATGTTTCTGCCGCTTGCTTAGTTAGTACCTTCGAATATGAATACGTAACATACCCTCATTTCTAATAGTACTGTATTTATTTTTTTCGTGATAACTGTTGCAGGGAATTTCGGGCACTGGCTCGTTGCGAATCGGCGCAATGTTTTTGGATGAGTTCCTGAAAGGTAACAAAACCGTGTACATGCCAAACCCGACATGGGGCAACCATATCCCTCTGTTCAAGAGATGCAACTTTCAAGTAAAACAGTACCGTTACTACGATCCGAAGACATGCGGTCTCGACTTTCAGGGAGCCCTTGAGGATATCTCGAGCATCCCCGAAGGTTCAGTGATCCTTTTGCATGCCTGCGCGCACAATCCAACCGGTGTCGATCCTCGGCCCGAACAATGGACAGAGATCGAGAAAGTTGTGCGTGAACGCAATTTGTTCCCATTCCTTGATATGGCCTATCAGGGCTTCGCGACGGGAGACATCGATCGCGACGCTAGCGCTGTGCGCCTGTTCGCTGGTAGCGGCCCAATGTGCCTTGCCCAGTCGTTCGCTAAAAACATGGGCCTGTACGGAGAGCGTGTCGGCGCATTTTCGCTGATCTGCAGTTCAGCGGAGGAGCAAGCTCGTTGCATGAGTCAGATCAAAATCCTCATTCGTCCACTGTACTCGAACCCGGCGGTAAATGGAGCTCGTATTGCTAACTTAATCCTTAGCGACCCTCAACTGCGAGCGCAGTGGCTTAAAGATGTCAAGGGCATGGCCGATAGGATCATCACAATGCGGTCCCGGTTGAGAAGCGGCCTTAAGCGAGAGGGCAGCACCCATGACTGGAAGCACATCACCGAGCAGATCGGCATGTTTTGCTTTACCGGTATGACCGCCGAACAGGTGACCAGATTGATCAAGGACTACTCTGTTTACCTAACGAAAGACGGTCGTATCTCTGTCGCCGGCATTTCTTCACATAACGTTGACTACCTCGCTCGAGCGATGCATGAAGTTACAAAATGAATTCACGCAAGCTAAAAACTCTTTTGTAATACAAACTTTGTACAGAAATGAAAAGACAAACGGTGATAGTATTCCTAGATGAAACTGCTAAGCAGCAGAACATCATCAAAACGATGATCATTATAATGATGATTTAAGGAGACATTGGCGCGGGAGAAGGCCGGGATGATCATGAACCACTGGCAGAGAAGCTCCTTGGGGGAGATGACAAGAGTAAAAAATCTGGACGCATGCTAAACGGATCCTAAAGCTTACTCGCTTACCAACAATTGCTGCTTTTAGTGGCTAGTATTGAGTTTGCTATTGCTAATGAGTTGGGGAAAAACAACTGGGAAATGTCGACGGTTAGCTTTTACATAATATATAAACCACGATATAAAATTATATATCTACATACAGACTTGTACGAACGTATACGAAGACAAGACGAACAGTGAACAATTTCATATAATTTCATTAAGAAATTCGATTTTAAGGCCATAATAGATAAGCAAATGCATAAGGGCAAAACAAAAATGAAGCAATTCCTATTCATAAAACAGGTACGAAATGTATATAGCAGCCCTACATTATAGCGAGTGTATCTACGAAGCTGGGTCTTGTAGTTTTGAGATGAAGGATCTTATAAGCGTGTATCATTTCTGTTGTAAAATAAAAAAAAAAAATTGATCATGTAACATCTTTACAGTGAGTGTTTTTCATTTCAACAAACATGTACCCATATAATTAATTTCTCTCTCTGAATAATGTCTGTCATCAGGATCGTTTTGGGACTAAGCCAATTGCAAGATTTTTTGTATCTACTATTTTTCCTGAACAACAAGTCTTCTATATCGATCAAACACACCAATTAAACAAATTGTTAGCATCTTTAAAATCGATAACTAATACGGAGCTACAGCTGGAAAAATACCGCTACACTCTTCAGATATCCGTATTTCGGTAAGCTTTATTATGTGGTGCTTTATGCTCTGACACACCTTGTACGCATTTGTATTAAGTAGCACTTTTCCTCAGTTACCACTAGTCGCTTCATGTACTTCGTTGACAGCTCGTTAGCCTACTTGAATCTATGAGCGAAAAAAAAATATTGCACAAAAACTATAGAAACAAGGACGAGTCGTAAGCAGGGTTGTTACATTCAGGGATGCTTGTCTCGTTGAAAGTAACCCTCCGAGACTCCAAATGTAGTCGGTATAGATTTCCTTTGAGACACTAATGTATTGCAAGAGGCCACATATAAATAATCGCATCCATTAAACGAGTTTTTCGTGATTGGTCTTAGAAATAGTTTTAGAAAAAATAGAAAACCAGACGGATTATAAGCAGGAAAAGACTTGTAACACCTAATTGTTTTATCGGACAAGCCAACTGACTGACGTGTGTAATCGGACAGATATGAATAGCCGCTAAAGTTGTTAGAAAATTGCTTTCGCCATATATAAGCCACGCGGATCCTTCAACAAAGCTAGAAAAGGTTGCCCTTTTTTATTGAATACAAAGACGACCCATTGATTTAGCTTAAAATTCAGATTCTGTATTCACGATAAATAGCTAAAGTTGATGAATTGACAAAAACACTTACCCGAGAGTGGATCAGTGTAGTGATTCTTATATATAAACAGCCCAGGATTAATCCGTACATATCCTCGATCCTTACATACATAAAACCTATTTGAGACTTCAGAGGTATAGTTAAAAAATGTATCGATTTGTCAGCTCAAGCGACTTCTAAATTGCTTCTCGACTGACCCATCAGGCTGTAGCCGAATCACGATGACGGTTGAAAAAAGACTGTGGAAGTGAATTATAACAAAAAAAAAGGCAGTTTCGCTGTAGACTGCTTGGCGCTTTGCACATAGTCTCTTGTTCAGCGGAAAGTTTCATATAAAATACGTCAAAAAAAAATAGAAATAAAGTCTCTTTTCCTCTCAGATCACACAAATTCAACATTTTAACGTAATAACGTTTCCGAGTAATAGCTTCATCTGGTGCACTTTCCCCATTGTGACTGCATTTTTATTAGAATGTACTTGCGCCATGCATGCAAGACCTTTGCTTTTAAAGAGTTTTTTTTTTGTCTTTGGTTAGTTATTATTATTATTATTATCATTACTTTATTAAGTAGTATAGAACTGCTGTTATTTTTCATACCCAAGAACGTGTACTTTCCTGCCTACATCGGCCTAACTAAGGAACTATGTATTAAGCATACGTTACTAATGGTACTACTACTGGTATTGTTATTATTTTTGTTTCTATCGGTATCTTTACAGCTACTCACTAAACCCAATCATATCCCTATTGTTAGCTATATTTTAACTACGGTTGCTTTATACGCATGCAATTTTTTATTTATGCTACGTACGTAGCGCAGATTTGCAACTTCAAGTATGTATGTAAACTTCATGCAAATGCCATCCTTTTTGGTGGTATTACTGTGATGATAGGAGTGTTCCTATAGGTGTAGCCACAGTTCCACCACATACATATATCATTTTCTAGTATTTCACGCTATTCATCTGCGTCTTGCAAAGACTTCTATATCAAATTTACATTGCAAAGCTGATAGAGCTGGGTCAACTTTCCGGTAGCTTCATCGTAAGCTACATACTAGCCACTCAGATACATAACGTCATCAAATGCCTAAGACGGCCCTTTTTCCTTGACTATTTCAAGCGCATTTAATCTATTTTTGACAGATTTGTTGTCTCTACTAGTAGTTCTTGTGTTTCCTCTCTCTTGTCTTTATCATGATAATCCTCCCTAGTAAACATTCATACATAATGTCCGTACTGATATTTGCGAAGAAGTAGCATTCTTTTTTCGCTTTCCGTTGTTTCCAGCCTTCCAGCCTCACGCTAAATATCACCATGCTTTGCAGCCCGTATATAACTAGTTGGCTATATTAAGGGTTGGGGGCTCCAAAACGGGTGTAGCTGTTCATTGGATCCACCAAACGATCCTACCTCGGAAAAACTCTCGGTGGAGAGATTATCATCAGCTCCGCCATTTGCAGCGGCAGGTGCATTAGCCTCGGCTTCCATTGCCACTCGAGCATAGTCGTCGGTGTCAATTGATTTGCAGAAATAGATGGCGTAACGAAGTTTCTCTTTTAGCACGAGTTTACACGAATAACGAGGCATCTTCAATAGGAAGAAGCATGTATAGCTCTCCGGTAAGAAGTGATCCGCTGGTGAGTATTTGTCAAGTACTTGAAGAACAAAGTCTCGGCCACGAAAATCGGCGATTGTTCGCGGTAGGCGTGTACGACCCCACACGAAACGAAGAAATAGTCCACGCTCTTCTTGTGAGAGTTCTTCCATAACTTCCCAGAACCAAGCGACCAGAGGAGCGTCAACTTCTACGCCTGCAAAATTTGTATGACAAAGAGTTCGCATTGAAAATTGATAAACAAGTGAAGTAGTAATATGGTTTGTAAAGTGAACGTACTGTTACTACTTTAGCGGGTTTTACACTGTGTTAGCACATACTCGACTGCTTAGATATTCATTTATTATTAACAAAGCGGCATAAATCGGCACCTGCACTATTTAGTCTAATAAATTGCATTGAAACACGTCAGTAGAATTATAATAACACTACAACAATAGACCTTTGTACGTAGCGACTGATTTCAGGAGACTGATGGGAATATCTGGACTACCGCAAATCATGAGTTCGAGTTCACGGGCCGTAAATAGAGCAAGAAGTGGAACTGGAATCACGCGGGCCATGCCTTCACGAACAAGGGCAGCTTGCTCGTCGAACTCATGCAGCCTACGGTGGGATGAAAACAATGTTAGCTTCAACTGCTAATAGTTCAATTAAAAGGAAGGTCTACATCAAGTATTTAAACTAATATATTGGATAGATATAATATAGTAAACGGAGCAGACGCAAGATATATACTATGTGCATCTATTCCCCATGTTGTCGAATAGAGATTCAACACTATTTAGCTTAGTGGCTATCGAGGTGTCGCAGTTTCAATAAATCCCTGAACTATGAAACACATTTATCTACTAACCGATACTTAATGGCTGATTGAATGTATTCGAATCTATTTTCCAGGGTGACGTGACTAAACTTGGAGCTTAAAGCCACCTGATGACCCGCTGACGAGTGTGTCATAAAAGGAATGTTTTCGAGCCGCGAAAATGCCTCCCGGTCCAGATCTCTAATGTACATAAGACCCGGTACGTAATCGCGATCGACTTCGTTCAGATCTAATACGCTTAGTGGGTCGCCAGTAAGCAACTTCCACATTGGTTCAGCTAGTGAGAGCGACAACGGACTGCCAGTTCGAATAGCGATGCCCATAAGTATTCCCAGAAATCGCAGCGAATCCCGATACTGAGCTGTTCCGGTGGCATGCGGAGTAAATAGGAAACAATCTCGAGAGGTCCCTGCTTCTTCACGGCCATTTGGCGTCAACGTTAATAATGATAGATTGTTCTGTAATACAGGAACACACAGTGAACTAACACGATATGGCAGGAAATTTGCGAAAATCTACAACGAACTTCGCCGTTATATTATAGTTCAAGAAAAAGTTGAAAACAAAAGTAGGGTAAGTTGGGTCGGACGCAAACCTTTTGAAGTTCCTCGCACATTTCGGCAATGCTTTCGCTGTAGCCTCCACCGCAATCGTCTACGCTTTCTCCGACGAACTTCACTTTCCATACTCGGTGTGGTAGGAGCAGGCATTCCGGTGTCAGCAGCGATATCTTGGAAACCATCTGTGCAAAAACAGTTTTTCTCGATGGCGAATTACTCATTCGACTAAGCTCGACCACCGGGCCGTGTTGACGATCCCGTACCATTGTGTTTTGTACCACCTTACGGAATGATCCTTCTTTGCCGCTCAGCATTAACAAGCCTTTGAGCGAATTAAACGCCGAACCGGGTGCGAGATCCAACAGCGGAATACATGGACAGAACATTTCGTTGAAGAGATACATTAGACAATATCGGCTGCGTACCACGGAGATTGCGATGCCCTTCAAATGGTCATATTCCATTGGAACCTGACTAGGCAGTTGGCCTACGCTCTTGTGGGGCACCTTTGAGGTGGACCAAGCCACAGTATGAGCGGAGCCGCATGCTACACGATTCATCTTTTTGCCCTTTAGACTGTCCACCTGTTTCGGCCGTTGGATGGCGTTCGTTGAGCCATCGCCCAATTGGCCCTCATCATTATCGCCCCATGTATAGACTTCACCTTCGTCCGTAACGGCAACGCAGTGTAGCGATCCCACCGCAATCTAGAATCATACACAAGAAGGTGCACGATGAGCGTATAGCAAATAATGATAATAATAGTCGTCCTGATTGGCAATAAAACATGTTATAAAAGCAAAAAGGATGCAGAGGACAGCGTAGGCTGCTGAAATGAAAAATTAGCGTCTTTACCTGCACGACCCGTTTTCCCTGAAGCGCGCCTTCAACCGGTTGTGGCCGACGAACATGTTCCTCGTTGCCGTGGCCCAGTCGATGGTAGTCGCCTTTACCCCATGTGTACACCACGCCTGGGCAATAATCAACAAGAAACCATACGGAATTTATTCGACAATATTAGCTACTCATTAATGCCAACTGTACTCAGAAATGTGTGAGTACGCGCCCGATAAATAATCATAAACGCACTGCCTCTTTCTTTTTAATAGGCACAATTAGGATGTTACCTTGGAAAAAGGTGGAGTCAAGCGAATGTTGCTGATTTTCTTATTAAACAAAATTCGAAGGGGTGTATATCCTAAGGATATAATTGAGCACAGTCAACTACTACAATGTAAATTGATAATCGAAGTCACAACAGCAAGTACACATGTATAAGAATAAGGGACAGGAAATGATAATGCATACCCGAAGCTGTGAGCGCCACAGAGAACTGCGAGCCGCATTCAACTTTAATGACGCCCGCATTCTGAAGTGAATCGATTTTTTGAGGCTGTTTACAGCCGTCACTTCCACCTCGGCCCAATTTCCCGTAATCGCCATCACCCCAAGACCAAACGGTTCCGTCCCGTGTAACGCAGAGGGTCTGGGCATCGCCACTCCCACAGGCCACATCAGCAACACTATGCCCTATTAAGTCCTCGACCTTCTTCGGCTTTAGCTGATCCTCAGAATCAGCATGACCCAATCGACCATACCTTTGGTCAATACAGAACACACAATTTCAAATAATCAAGCGTCTCTTGTCTATCGCTTTACTCAACCTTAACGGTTTATTTATCGTTGGCAGTAAAATGATAGTTGAGCAGCAAACTGATGCCAGAAAAATTTGTGCAGTTATAAAAAATGGGATTAGAAACGCTAAGGCAAAGGTGAAACTATACAGTTGTTTCTGCGTACAAGAAGCGTTTAAGACCGCAAATTTTCATTGAGCACAATAATCTGATCAGAAAAAATGCGAGATACGAGAGTGTCATCTTGAGAAACTATTTGAAACAAATCGTTACACGTTTTTTGACCATTGCTGTTTAGGTTACTGACCCACCTTCCTTTGCCCCAAGTGTAGAGATAGCCGGAAGCTGAAATCGCAGCTGAGTGCGCACCTCCACATGCAACCATTACAATACGTTTACCACGAAGTGCCTCGATAAGTCGCGGTTTTTCGCAGTGGGTTTTCGTGCCGTGGCCCAGCTTGCCGTCGTCGCCTTCTCCCCATGAGTAGACGTCGCTAGTATCTGTCCGAGCCAAACAATGTTTGCCCCCTGAATTGACAGCTACTTGCGTTACGACAACATGAGTCAATGGGCCATCAATGGGTGTCGGTGTTGAGACGCTTTCGGTACCTCCAACGCCGAGGCGTCCCCCCGCTCCATAGCCGGTCGCATATACTTTTCCGTCGCCTGTGAGAGCGAACAGGGTCTGTTCACCTCCTACAATCTGTACGGGTCTATGGAACAGGACCACAAAGAAATCAAACAGAGAAGTTGGGAATAGAATCTTTTTGAATAGAATTTTTATGGATGATTGCATTATCACCTAAATGAAAGATACACAGGCTACCGTTTATGCAGAACGTACCTGAGTGCTGTGAGGGCATCACAAACGGTTGCTTTCTTCACCTTGGCGCCTTCGACTCCACCCAACTGTCCACGATGGTTATGACCCCAACCGTAAATAACCCCGGAACCGCCCCACGATAGAGTCCACTCTTCCGGACAACGGTTCACCCACTGAATTAGCTGCTCGTCCTGGGTAAAAAAATATAGTAAGGTAATTTTATTATAGGATTCAATTTACAAAATTCGCGAATCGCATTTTTAGCATCGCACCCTAAACAAAGTGGTAGAAAAATAGCTAAAATCAAAGTACAACGTCTGTCAAGTTAATCTCTTAAAATATCTATTACTTCGATGAAAATCGTATAACTTGCCAAAGAATAGAGATGTTCGCTTGTTAGCGTTATCGTCGATAAAAATCTAATTATCAGTAACCTATACGAATTCGAAACAACAGCCACCGAAACACCCGTCTGACATAGATCACATACCTGCTCCTGTCGAAAAATGGTGTTACTGTCAAAGCCCAGTCTTTCCTCAAACGGCTCATCAGGGAAAAGTTCCTGAAGTTTCCTCTTGACTTCTTTAATAAAATAGGGTGGAAACTCTCTTCGATTAATTAAGGCATGTGCGATACGGCTTGTCGTACAGTAGCGTTTAAACCAGCTCCATCGGTGACCTTCCGTGGTGCAAACATGATCGAGCTCAAGATCGCATGCGAGAGCAACGAGTACCTGTCCATCCAACGAGAATGAATAATTCCCAACACGGGCCTTTAATTGTTTTTTATGTTTCGTATTGTAATTATAACCTTATATATTTCATGCTAATACCATCTTACATACCTTGAAGAACTGGGTGTGCATCAAATGTTTCCCCGACCGCACGAGCGGTTCTTCATACTCGTATTGACGCAGCAACATTTCGGGCAGATGTCTAAGCAGTGAAACGAAGGCCAATGTATCGGTCTGGCTGGCGCCCGAATCTTCCGTCGCCTCTGGAACAAGCGGTATTGTGGGACTGATGGGACTTTGTGCCATGAGTTTGAGCCGCCGACCGCCTGCTGTTGAAGTGACCAACTGGCGGAGTTTTTCAAGGATCCACATCCGCTGCGACGAGCTAAGATAGTTCAGCTGGGCACATGATGCAAATGCTGCGGCAAGCCGAAGAACGGTAGATTTACGAGCTTTTGTAAGCAATACTTGATTCGGTGAGCTTAGAAGAGATACTACAAGTCCGATCGACGGCCGCGAAATGACGGCTCGATCCGAGACGCTTTCTAGTTCATGGTAGAGTGATTTATGGTTTGACAGCATGATCGGATAGACAGTGAATTTCCAACCCCAGCCATTAACACTGCCGTCGGAGCAGAATCGCCAGCGAAGCTCGTTGCCCGGTATAACTAGTTCCCCAGCCCAATCGGACCACTCGCGACCGGAACGATTTGCTACAATTCGACCGCACCAATCTGTGATATAAAGCGGGTCGTGGCGTCGTTCCGTCGAACATTGCTGATCAAATTCAACCCGAAGCGAGTCGGCTCCGGGAATTTTAACGTTGCCCGTCAGAACCGAGTCGTCCTATAACGAAAGCAAATAAAATATGAAGTTGTGGCTTCATTGCGAAAAAAATAAATACACTTAAGTTTTTCAAGGAAAAACAAAAATCAAGTAATTCAATGAGTGATTAACAAATCAGCACAAGTTATAAGTGGTGGCAATCAAAATATATACATAGATATTTGCTAACAATGAAAAATCTTAGAAACTAGAAAGGTACTTGTTGTAAATAAAGCCAGGAATGCTACCGTCCTCACCTTATAGGGATGTGGGCTTTCTTGAACCACCGGCTGCGGGAAACAATAATTCGCCCTAAAGTCAACGCAGACGTATTCCATTTCCGTGACGCACATTTCAAGCAGCATCTCTCTCACAGTCATATTGCTGGTCGCGAGGGTCAAAAGGGCACTCGTGAGAACATCGCAGCCTTCTCGGGGATTCATCCCGTCCCCAACCCTGAATGGAGCTCTACCGCATAACGTTAACTTAAGAAGATCCACGAGTTGACGCGTCTTGTCAGCTAAATTTCGAGACACGAAGTTGTCAACTTCGGTTTGTTGCGCGTCTGTGAGTGTGTCCTGGGGAAATGCGCAAATAATGGCACAGTGAACGAGCATATGTGTGTATATTTCAAACTTAGCCGACAAGTGTAATACGCATGTTTTTAACGATAAAAAAACCTGTCATAAGCATCTGATCAAAAACGACTTCATAAGCCATTAGGTCAATTGTGTTGTCTGTATTGCAGTCGTTGAAAAACAATTGAATGATATGATTTCGACAAGTTCGCAAGTAAAAAGAAGCGTAATTTGCATCCCTGCTGTTTATGACCTTAACAGAAAAAAACCTTTTCATCAGTAGGCGAAAAGGTGGCCGCAGCCAAAACGCTAGCAGCTGATACTCGGGAGGAAAGACTCGTCGAAGATGGCAATGGTGATAGCGTTGTTGATGGTGGTTCTTCGCTGGGCTCCCGCGAAAGAATACGCTCACTGCTTTCACACCGAGATAGCGACGGCTCGCGAGACAACCCTGTGGCCGCATTCGCCCCCATACAAGATGACTGGCACGCTTGTAACGTTGTAGCCTGCGTCTGAGGCGCTAAAGACGCCAATATAATTTCCCTGAAGGCATAAGTTGGTTATCATGGTGTGAGACGATAAAAATTATACGCAGTCGAAAGTGCTAGGCTTCACATTTTTCAGGGCAAGTTCAGCGTAGTTCTGTGTTCCAAGACGCGTTACACTTCTACGTGTAAACTTAGTAACCCTGCCAGATTAACCATCGATTGCAGTCGACTCCGCTGTTGAAATAAACAAATAGAAAAACTGTGATGAACCTCTCTTAATGCGACACACACCTTGCTGTTAGAATTTGCAGAGCATGGACCGCATGCAGAAGAGCGTCGATCTTCGCCTGGGGCGAGTCAAGTGATAGAAAAATTCTGCTGAGTGATGGTCGATCTATTTGAATCTGCATTCGCGCGGACCCTTGCTTGTGAACGGAAGCCTGGGAGAGATTTTCTCCGTGCTCGCCAATGCCATAACCTAAGCCAGCATCTTGCGTGCCGGCCTGATCTTTGATAAGCAGTGTCTCCCCAAGAGGATCTTTGACAATTGGAAACAGTATTGGATCATACAGTTTCTGTGGGGAATAGTCGGCGGAGAACCAAGCCACCGAGTGCGAGGAACCGCAAGCTACTTTGGTAACCCCCTCAATACCTTTGACCAAAGCTGGCTTTCGGTTTACAGTTGTGTTTCCATTCCCCTGTGAAACAGAGCCGTGCAAAAAAGCCTCATTGGTACATAAATCATAAGTATATAATAATTTTATGTAACGTAAATTACTCATATATACACACCTGTACATATCTCATTAAAGGGAACGTTTCAACAACATAGAAATAAATTTAGTTAGCATGCTATTATGCTGTCGGTGTCTCACCTGATTGCTGCGTTCTGTTCTTAGTAGTACACACTGATTACCGACTGTTTGTGCTTGTATTCGGTTTCTTTCTAATTAGTAGTAATTCTGAAGTTTGGTGCAAACTAATCATTTTCCTTACCTGTTGTCCATGATCGTTATCACCCCAAGCGTATACTTCACCTCGATCCGTAACTGCGATACAATGTAGCGCTCCGACGGCTACCTGTACGACAACCTTGTCTACCAGTTCATCAACCAACTGAGGCCATCGCACATGCGAGTCAGACCCGTGTCCGAGTCGAAAATAATCGCCTTTACCCCACGTCCAAACGCGGCCATTCTTTGCTAGCGCCAGCGAAAACTGCGCTCCACACTCCACTTGTACAATGTGATGACCATTGAGAGTGTCGATATTATGCGGCAGCGCTGAACCGTTGCTACCTCCTCGGCCAAGTTTTCCAAAATCTCCATCTCCCCAAGAAAACACCCAACGACGTTCAGTCAGCGCGAGGGTCTGTGCGTCTCGACTTCCGCAGGCCACCTGCACGACGCGTTCGCCGGCCAGTGCGATCACCTAAATCATACGGTCAACCGTATGTATATGTATATATATATACTTGTTCAAAAGGTGCGTGGGGTCCTGAGCAGGGAGAAGAGGTCTAGGACTGTTTTATTATCGAGACCAAAGACGCCAGATTATAGTTTTGAATGACATAACTGCACCCATCGTCATTGTGCGGTACTGCACCGATGTACCTGTTTCGGTTTCATTTGCGTGACGTTATCGCCATGACCAAGACGTCCATATTCGCCACTGCCCCACGTATATAGTTCTCCACTGGACGTTACCGCTGCCGAGTGAGAGCTTCCGCAAGCGACGTCTCTGATTCGTTTGCATTTTAGTGCTTCGACTAGCTTAGGTCTGTCGTACGATCTGCGTGAGAAAACGATAGGGACAATTAACGTAAAAACTGATCCGAATGAGTATGAACGAATCATTACTAGCCTAGGAATGTAAACATTCAAATAGAACGTAATGTGACTTCAGGGGTCATTATAGGTATCTTTAAATGTATAAGAAAATGTAGAACAATAAAACGCTAGCAGCTGACATTTTGTCGCCGTGGCCTAGTTTTCCGTCGTCTCCTTCACCCCATGAGAAGATTCTTCCGTCCATGGTAAGCGCGAGCGAATGCCGTCCTCCAGAATGTACGGCCACCTTCTTGATAAAGTAGGCACTTAACTCGACAAGCGGTTTAGGTGTAGCCACGTTGTGGGAATGGCCAAGCCCCAGACGCCCATTAGTACCTTCACCACAGGCGTACACTTTGCCGTCGTGAGATACTGAAATAGAGAAATGGACAAGATAATTTTTGTGCAACGTAATCGGATTACCGCAGACATAACATGTATCGTATTTGCAATGCGACCTGGCTACAGTACATATTTACATGCACTACGTAAACAGCTCGCAGAGACACTGTTGAGAAAGCACATGTGTATACGTATGGTTTAAGGAACTATTAATACTGAGCATTCTCGTAATTAGATGGAGTTATAGTCAACTCACCAATGAAGAGGCTCTTCGAACCACCTGCAATATCCACTGGTTTAAGGGCTGAAATGACTTCGCTGTATCTCGGCTCTTTGATCTTGCTTCCTTTGAGGCCACCGAGTTGATCTTTGTCATTCAGGCCCCACACGAAGACTTTGCACTCGATATTTTCTCGTACTCCTGTTGGGCCTGCTCGCCCACTGACTGATGTTCCATTTGTTGACGTCGTAATCCCTTTGCTTTCAATGTCAGACTCGTGAGCTAGGAACGGGTAATTCGCCGCATCGTTTGTTGACTGGATGTGACGTCCGATTATTATTAATCCAAGCACCTTGCAGTCGATTGCTACAATTCGACATTGTTTGATACGAATTTCGACAAAGCGGAAGTATTTGCTTTGATCCTCAAGAAGCGTTACCCTAGTATCTGTTGGCCCGATAAGCAGATCCTGAAGCGGCTTGAGATGTTGTAACGATTGGCCGGCTGACACCACGACAAACGATGGCATGTGAGACAAGTCAACTGGGTCTACGTCCATGGCCAGTTTTTCAATAGCCACATTTTCGTTCATCTCTAGACGAATCCAATGGGGGCATTGCTCCCCAGTACTCTGCCAAGCCTTCTGATTCGTTTCAAACAGGTGGTGCGCCGTCATTGTTCCTGAGGACACGGTAAAATTTTTTATGCATTCAGTCGGCTCGTAGAATAGCTCGCCTTCACGGCTTTGCGTTTTTTTCTTGCAACTAATACGGCTGCTAAGACGACGTGCACCACACGGACTAGTGCTGACTAGCTCGATTTCTCGCATTAACCCAATCCATGAATGCTGCTCGTGGAAGTACACGGTCACCCGTTGACCTTTAATGTCGACAAGAGTACCGACACTCGCGTGCGTTACTGATCCCCACTGATAGCGAGGGTTACTTATCGATGGCCTCACTCTGACTAGATCGCCGAGCTTGATTTTTCCGGGGACACTTTCAAGTATCTCAACATTGACGTAACGGACCCAGTAGCTATAATTTCCTCTCTTCTGCCAATTCACCTTGACATTAAGATCATGCAGGCCGTCAAAGTCTAAGCTAACCACATCTCCAACGTCGCCTTCCTGGATATTTTCAAAAGCCCGGCAGCACCGCACTGCCATGCCGACCTGAATGCAGTCTTTGACATATCGAGCATAGTCATGGTCACTAAAGAACTCAAAACGTCTCCGGTACATGTTCTCAGTATTCGCTATTCCAGTAAGGGTATCGGACATGTCTATCTCCGATAGACTGCTACTTGAAGAATGTTCTTCAAATGAGCTAGAATCGCATTCCTCAACTTGGTCTGAGTAGTTCTCGAATAATTGGTCCTGATGTTCAAGTAGCCACGACACAATACTCTCCGGACTAGGACTTGTCCCGGTAAGGCCTTGCATTAAGCAGGTTGCATTATCGTTTTGTTGAACTAAGAGAGCTTTAACCGCCTGCTCAATGTTCTTTTGAGAAAAGCCCATCTCGAGTAGTTGGGGCTGATTTATACTGGCCATCAAAGCTGAGTTTGGCCTGGAATGCGCACTTCGAGTTCGTACATTGCGACTGGTTGTGGGCTCCGGCGAAGTGCTTCTTTCAATTGGATTGACAGGCGCAAACATTTGGCCTACAAGGTGCTGAATCGTGGTTAGCACTGCTGTTTCAATTTCCTGTTTGGAGAAAACAGCCCGTAAAGGCGAAGGCCTAATGGCCACACTGAAAACCCTTTCCAGAATATCTTCGCATTTGAGAGCATTCCTTAACGTTGATTGGTCATATAAAAGACAGCTGACAGATCGCAGTAAGCTATACATATATTGTATCGGGATAACAGCTTCTGGTTGTGAACCTGAAGGAATATCTGTTAACGTGATAGCGGTTCGTAGTAGTAAGCACGTCCTTCGGTAATTTCCGAAGCTTTTACCGACGAAGCTTCGTAAATTGAAAGGAGGCGGCGGTAACACTCGAAGATTGGTTAGGAGGTGAGTACTACGTTCAAACCCTGCTGTTACTCCGATTTTTCCTTTAATTCCGATTTTGCAGACCGTACCCGTGCTCACTTCTTCCTCGTCCTCGTCTGAAAATTCGACATGCTCCACCAATGATCCCAAACGCAATCGGGAGTCCACCTAGAAGGCAAAAGTACGTCTATCTCGTACTCGAAGTTAGGATGAAAAGAAACCGTAGATTCAGTTTAGCTATGCTGTCATAACATACATGCTTACGTACATCTTTTAGTAGTACAAATTATTAGTTGCTTTCTATTGGGTAAAGCCGTAGATCCTGTTCGTACACCTTTGATGACACCCAACTTCTTACTCATGAACATGCATCAAATGGCTTCTTATCTACTAATTTGCTCTCCCTTCCTGATATTTGCGTGAGCTTCGGAAACCATCACTTCAGAAAGCGGCGCTTGCGTTCATACGTTATGCCTTTAATCGCCTTTAAACAAGCCTTTAATCGAAGTTTAAAATTGTCATTATCGTTATTTTTAGGCAGATACCCTCGCTGGAGAACTTACTCTTTTTAACCTACGATTTCTCACAGTTCGCATAGACAATCATTCTGCGGATGCAATGTTCCCTGTAAATCGAGCGTATGGCAATACACACGAACCGAAACGGCAATAGTCGCGCTTATGAGGTACACGTTTTTATCGACTTCATCCAAAATCGCTGCAAATTGCCTTAAGTGCGATTGGTCATGGAGCTTGAGATATCAATTTTTTTCACACAGATGCACGTTTAACCCTGCGCTTGATAACCCCCGAAGAATTACCTCCGTGGCATAGCTCAGTGGCAGTCTGCGCCAACTTTTCCTTTATACAAATAGGAAAAATAGTGTATTCCAAAAAGCTCATCCCGGCTTTCCACCTTCTTTCAAAAAGAATGTGCAACCACAGCTCAGGTTTGAACAAATTCAATTCCAAAACATTGCGACAACATACTTGAAGAGCAAACCGTGTGCAATTACGCCGCCACTCTTAGAACTTCTTCTAGTAAATCAACTGATAAATGTAAAACTCAGCATACCTGTCCTAAGAGTCCGAATAAAGCCAGCTCAAGTTTGAAATCTTCCCCGAAAGCCATGTGATTAAATTGAGCCGAACACACGATCGCGGTCATGTTGTTAGTTAGGAAAGTTGATATCGTATCCATCCAGTCTGGCAGCACGCTAAGTTTGCGCAGCAAGGCAATACATTCTTCAGCAACACTCGAGCTGTGACTGGCCGTAAGACAAACGCGTATTTTAGGGAGAGATCCAGGGGCAGCTTTGAGCTGCAGTGTCGGGTCTCTCGCGCACGCCTCTGTCAAGCAGGTCCCAACGACTTGAAGTAGTTTCTTAACGAACCCGGTGCGCTCTTCGGCCGTACACTGCCAATGGGGCACTGCCACCTCTAGCAAACGTAATGCTTGTATTTGCGACGTAAGGCTTGTAGGCTGAAATTTGGCGACCACAGAAAGGATCAGCTTTATCCACATCGCTGTCGCGAGACTTGCGGAAAAGGCCCGATTCTCGAAGCAAGCACGCACATAGCTTAAGTTGCACCACTTGTAGCATTGCTCTTCGAACAACCAACGATTCTCGGTGATCTGTAAGATCCAGCAGAAAAATGCGATTCAGTTTTTGGAAGAAAAAAACAGTTCCTTTTCAAAGCCGTATAAAACAATCATTAAATAGCTTCAAACTTCTCTAAAATTAGCTCTTTTGGAAAAATTGGTACGCTAAGCGAAATGTTGTGAACATCTGCTAATGCCACTCACTTTACGAAATCCTTCTACAATTCGAATGACACAGGTACGATCGAAACTTCTACTGATCACTCTGTGTTTAGATAGAACAAGTTAATCCTTTTAGCCTCCTCGGGCAGAATCAGTATTTCGCTATTGAATTAGCTTAGGGCAGGTAGCATAAAGAGTATTTAGTCGGAATCATAGTTTTACAGTATACACTCACCTCTGAGATGTTTGTAAAGCCGCTTGCAATAATATTATACAGCAGCTTAGAAAGCGCCCTGATATTATGCGGAGCCAATCTCCCATGTCCATGAACGGGAAAAGCTGCGGCAGCCAATGGGAGAGCTCGCAGAAGGTTAACAGTTGATGTGTGCAGCATCGTGATGGGTCGTTGGGGTGGCTGATACGTATCTTCGTCGACCAGCGAATCGGGCTCAGACGAGGAAGGGCTGTCCGCCTGGGGACCAACCTGTCCCAGCAAAAATCTTTCCGGACCTTCGGCTAGCTTCAGGTCATACTTACCGTCCTTTCCCATGCGATACGAGTTTGTCGTCCCTGTAGCCCACTGAATACGGATCCATCCGTCATCGCCCAGTTCGCCAATAACGCGACCTTCGCCTGGGGGTATTCCATCTTGGTTGCCCCATTTCCAGTCAGGGCCTCGGCGTACCCGTGTGCCAATCTTCATCATGGCAATTAACTCCGGGCCTGCAAAAGGCAATGTAATGATAGGCCGTTTACTATTAACAAATAGTTATGCACATGCGTCGAGTATGTGTGAGTATTTCCGACTGGAAAACGTATTAGCTTCTTCCTTGTAACACTTAACTTCTTTTCTATTAAATGGAACTCTTTCGACTGAAGAAAGGCCAGTAAGTTGCTGGTATATCCACTCCTTGCTATCTAACGTAGAACGCTTCGATTACCTTCGTTTCATATTGCCTAGGATGGCCATTAGTCAGTTTCGCTACGTCAAGCAGAAGTCAACACCAATCGCGCTTTTTACAATAGCTTGCAATCGTATTGTTTTTCTCATTCCTTAAATCATCTCTCTGTTCTGCCACGTGTCGAACTATCTCTCTATTTCCCGCGCTTGGTACACGATTTTCCACATCTCTTTGATAATTCACACACAACGTTATAACTCGTAACGTCATCGTTTTCTATTTCACGTTAGCCCGCCGCCCGCTTTGGCTGTACTTTGGACTACCCAAAGACAACATCTCATCGAAAGCTTCTTGTCACTTTTTTCGTCTGAGGCCGAACTGTGTGGACACAGTGTACAGACCGGTATATCAGTTTACGTCCCCCGGTGTCGACTTCCTTGAACTATTAGTTATAAACATAAGCTAAATATAAAATAATATTTCTTACTTATACAATAATTTTAAAGGTCAACGTTAAAGGTAATAAGGTACTCTACCTGAGAGGAAGGGGGCGCCGATAGCTTTTGCCCTCTTTTTGACCGATTCTTCCATAACCGCTGACAACGACATGTTCTGGGTGACAAATGACACGTTAGGGTCCGGGCCAAGCAGACGAAGCAACGTCAGCAAATGCGCCGTGATATTTTTTGAAAGAAAGAGATCGAGGTGACGAGTCACCCCCTTGAGGAGATACGCTAAAAGACATATGAGAAGTCTACATCGGGTGAACACTGCAGGCGATGTTAGTGACCAGCCAGTTGCACTATCCAAAGAAACTAATTTGCTTGTAGCGGTTTGTCGATTTGATGGACCGTAGGCACCGTCCGCACCAATACATTCGACGAGTAGCTTGCGCAGTTCCTGAAGACACCAATCGAATAGGTTCGAACATGTTTTTCGAAGTTGTCGCCGTTGCTTGGGGTAGATAAGGGTCAGTTCTGGGCAATATTGTGTCATTGACGTCTGTGAGATCTTCAGCAAATCTTGCCAACCGCAATGAAGCGCATACTTGGTCGAAGTGAGATAGTCGTTTTTCGAAAATAGCTGTAACATTCTCTCAAGACCAGCTTGTTGTATAACTGCCACTGCATTCTGTTTAAAGTAAAGCTTTCGGAGCTGTTCGAGGTCTGTCAGCTGACCGTCGCTCTGAAGCACGAACTCTTGCACGCAGTGCATGAGGCTCCGCCAATCCAGCTCAGAAGGAGCACTTTCGAGTTCGGGACTTCGTTGAATGTTTCGTATTTTGTCAAAAGCCCAAACCCAACGAGACCTAAGAGAAGTGCATGGAGCCGCCAAAAAGGGTTCAGCCTCAAATGCTGGCCGTACCTCATACAGCAGAAAGCGGCTTCGTTCTGCAACAGGAAAACAGACCTCTTTGTATGATCCGCCAGTATCCTGGCGCGTTTTTATCAGCGACCATTTCAGCTGTTGGATGGTCTTGATAAACGTCTTCACAGCTTCGCTGAAGTCAAGAGGTACACTAACGCCCATGGCATTAATCGTTTCTCCCGTATGCTTAAGTAAAACGGCCATAAGTAGGCGCGATAACTCTTCAATTGGGTGGTTTAACGGGAGCTCTAAAGGAAGCGACAATCGTTCCTGTTTGGCGTACGTGATCCACAAACAAAGGAACCTAAAAGTAAGAAGTATTAGATATATTAGTTACAAATAGTAGCAATTTTTTCATACCTTCAGTACTTAATAAAACACGCTATCGTTGGTAGAAAGAACGTATCCTGGCCACGTATTGCAGTGGCCCAAGCACTACCTCTATATATAAAGGTAGTACCTGGCTAAATAATCGGGCGTTCAAATCAGGACAAGAGATTTAGCGGACCACTAGTTGTAACAGACTGCGTTTATCTGCTGCTCTTAATATCAAAGAACAGTCAGTTCTTTTTAGAACAAAATAAACTCCTAAAAATGACCAACAGTGTGTCGTTTTTTTAAATTTAAGCCCGCGCTCAAATGAAAAACCTCTTTTTTTCCCTTACACTGGACGGTGTATATCTCTTCTAGTTTTCACGATGTTTTTGAAGAGTCCGAAGAACACTTTCATAAAGCAAAGCAGAAAATCCTCAGTAGATTTTAGGTTTAAAAGGCTTGAAAATTAGTTTTTAGTGGACCTACTTAGGTTTTAAACACTAAAATTAAAAACTGTTTTAGGGAGGAGAATATTCATTGCTTTAATCCTAAATTGAACCTAAGCTCGTGCTCAGATGGTGATGATCATGACTGCCAAGAGTGATACTCCCAATACAGGCAAAATAATGTGTTGAAATACGGTTTTTGTATACATATAGTCTCAACAGTAAAGCAAAGAAAAACTTCTCCGTTTAAACATACCATTCTGTATATATATATATATATATTCATAGATGTATTTTTTTCTTGGGTATGTGAGATAAGAAATAAAATATACAGACCTTTCAAGTGATGGTATGGTGCCTGAATCTGAGCTCGTTGCTAAGGCATTCAGAAAAAGATCGCTGTCAAGCTGGGCGCATGCTCTTGATTGTTTTTCATCAGTAGGAGATGTAGAATTACTGGATGCACAACTTCGTACCTCTCCCTGAAAATAACCACACTGAATCTTATTACTTCGCTCTATCTACATATATACAACAAACGGTAAAAATATTACTGTTGTTTGAAAAATTTTAATCTTCAACCAAAGAACCGTAACTTAGAATTTATCGTAACTTACCTTCTCCTCTTCAAATTTCAGTTTATATAGGCCACCAAGAAACAGAGGACTCTTCAACCAATATTGAACATTAGTCTTTTCCGCTTCCGCATCGACCGAAGCAGAATTTTTTGAATTCAGAGCAAGATAATAAGCTAATGCGTATTCAGTGTCCGCCAAAGGTGAACCAAATGAGTGAACATCGCATTCGAGAACGGGATCGTTCTCGGAGTCAAGAAGCGTGCCGATCGCCATGCTTTGGAGGAGTGCCCGAGCTTCTTGAGAATGCGGACGCGCTTCGAACGCTTTACTTGCATCCTCGCCATTTAAGGCATTGATAGCTGCTTCGCCACAGGGTGGCGACAAGGCGCTGAAGGCACCCACGTCATAGACTAAACCCCGGATCACGATCCACACTGAAGTGCCTTCACGTTTCACATTCTCCAAATCAGACTTCCGGATCAGCCGCTGTGGCTGACTATTCATAGTTTGCTCCATAGCTGATGCAGCGGCGACCCTGCAATTATTAAATGGAATCGTATCGAAATCGACGAAGTTTCTTTTCAACTTAATATCTTAATATTATTTTAAAGTATTTATTATTAGACACTAGAGGCGTCGATAGATTTGATCGTCACTCGAACGAAAGATAATGAAAAATTATAGCTGAAGTCATTAGGGATTTAACCTATTCTAGGGCATTCCGATTATTTAAAAGAATACTCATAGATCAAAGCACAATATGTATTACTTAGGTATCTGTAATCCACAGTGGAACAGTTGTGCGTGCATGTATCCACCTTTCTTTAGCGCTGCAGGTGAGGGAGTTGAGGCCTGTCCAGGACAAGTTCTCAGCGTCCTCTTTAGATGCAGCCGGTGATCTTCCGTTGACGGCATCGAGCTGATCGAGAAGCGGTTCGACGAGGGTTGCCAATTCGGCGGTTACACGATGTCGGTACCGCCCGGTTTCTAATACGAGACACGAGATCACAAACTCTGGAAGGAGTGTGCCTACAATCGAGTTCGTTGAAGCGACTATCTTGTGTAGGGTATAGACGTAACGAGACACGGTCGACCCATACATTTGGCATGCTTCGAGGATCTGCTCACAATGAGTCACAAGAAGTTTTGTGTACCGCACAAGCAAAGCCATCGTTGGATGTTCCCCAGAAGCTTCGTCGCTTGAGGCATTCGTTGATTCTGGCATGTTCATCAACTCGGCAAAGAGAATGCGTTGAAACTTGAGCAAAAACTTAATAGCCACTCCTTCGAACTGCCCGGTAGAATCACAAGAAACTATTAGAATACATACATTTATATTTGATATTCTGAAATAAAAATGCGTTGTTGTTGATCTTGTAACTTATCAAACTTGAGATTACATCTAACGCAGAAACAACATGCTCGAAACGCCATCCTACCTATTTCCTACAAAAACCAAGAGCGCGCACAAAGACCAATTCATAACCCTTGAAGCTATAAGGCATAAATCTTTGTAAGCTGAAAGTGTAATATTCCAAAAAAAATCCTATTGAGAAGTTCATTAGGGCGAGGCAGTTTATTCCCTTTCAGTATTGGGCCCACACTATTAGGCCAAAATGTTCCCATATCAGCATGCGTTTGAGCCAAATAGGATTTCCTAAAACCTTGCGAGGAGGTACCCACCGCCGGGGCTTGCTGATCGACCTCCATTACGAATTGCTGTTGTTGTTCGTACAGATGTGAGGGGTCCATCTGTTGGAGCGTGCTTTGAGCAATGGATCGTAACAGTTGCCGTACGAGATAGAGAAGCGGTAACTGGGGCCGTTTATGCTGGGCTTCGGCTTGAGCGCTTTCTGTTAAATGTTCGCTGGCCACGCGGCAGTCCTGTTCTGTGAGTTCGTTCGCGCAGGCGACTTGTTCAAACTGGGCGCGGTACACGAATGATTCCAGGGCGCCATCGCACATCAAACTCTCTACAAGAAGACCTACGTGAAGATCAAGAGTATCACCGAAAAGTGAGTACTATAACGAAATAATAACACAGTAACGATGACCTAAATGACGAGGAAGACCAATCACAGTATACTCTAAATTCAAGTCATTCTGTTCCTGTTCCAAATTAAATTACCAGTTCTGTTTACCTATGAGAAAGTTCGATCTTTGAGGTAGCAAAAGAGATAACGTTCGAGCGCGTTCGTCGGCCGAAGGTAGAAGGACACGCCAACAGAACGAGAGGCAATGTGCCGCTGCTAAACGGATACTCTCGTTGCAACACGTTATTGAGCTTGCTAAGGCCAGGATCCGTTGTTTCAAGGCCGAGAGGACCCTATTCAATTTAAATGTGCATCGTGCAAAAGGAAAAAAGACGTTAGGTAAAATTTGAGTACATCTTGTGGGTCAGCTAAAGAAGACATGTTTCTTAAAGGCTCGAAAAGCTACAATTTTCGTGTATTAGTTAAGTAGATAAGCCGCTGCGACTAGTACACGAACATTTATATAAACAGTGAACGACAGTTAGCTCTGTCTGTTAATTAGCTACATTACTCTACTCTAGAACTCAGTCAAGAGTGGGCGGTGACAGTAACGTAGTTGTATCTGTGATTGAAACACCGAAAAAAAAACCCGGAAAGCAGGACTTTTTGATATTATATTGAAGGAAAAAGGTTGTGGGCTCGCACATATGCGTGGTCAAACAAACGAAAAAGGCGGCAGTTACCTCATCATCTCTGACAATGACAGCAAGTTTCGGCTAGACAAGCGGACTTACGTACTTGCTATGTCCGGGTTCGAGTCCTTGCACATGTACTTTATGGATGTGCATAGTGTGCAATTGCAGTGTCACTAGATGTAAGGCAGCGACACACATCGACTCTTTTTCCTGACCCAATGGAGCGTCCGCTTCTTCGGTGCCATTACATATCGCTAAAATTCGTTCAAGATGCTCAGCCGAAGCAAGTGATAAATCCAATACGAATGGAAGCATTTTTGGCTCACTCGGAGTGCTTGCCTCGCTCCACATAATCATCTGAAAAAAAACATTTTTACACGGTTCATCAGCTGAATTGACAAATTATTATAAAAGCAAGTCTTATTTATTGTAAATTAATTAAAAATTTTAGACATAGAAATTTTTGCACTGTTGTCGAATTTGTTAGTATTATCGAATTTAATATGGGCCAGGTAAATGCTTTGTAATCATAAAACCATATGAAAAGTGTATGTGATCGTATAAATAAACCTATCCCTCCTCGGTATTCAGGGAGCTTCATAACAGTGATTCAGTAAAATGGAAAAAAAGTCGCAGAAATTTTAAAAAGCTAAAGCATCATCTCCTATTGGTGATTTGTACGCAATTATTGATTACCCGTGTTATTATCATGAAATTTTTCGGTAGTTTTTTAAAAAATTAATCAATTGTTCCATGTCCTGAGACTTCAGAATAGCTAATTTTTACACTGCCTTTAGAAAAACAATGATATGTACGTATACGAGTTAGTGAAATATTCACATACGGACCTCGCCAACCACAAACTTGTCCCATATTGACAAGATCTCACCTTGTCAGTGTAGGATTTTATTATTTCAAATCAATGCAATGTCGGTCCTATGAATTCGTCATTTTGACAATTGCTGTGAATAAATCAATAACTCAAAGGTGTTATACTATTTCGAACTGGCGTTCGTAGACGCGTTCCTCACAAGTTGCGCGCAAACATTCTGGCTTTACAGCTTTATCTGTTTGGTATCTACTATCAACGATCTCTAGGGAATCTAATCTAACAGACGGTAGGATCTAGAATACGGTGATCGAGATTCCATAGCTATGGCGCTACATAATCGCTTATTCCATACTACGATTGATCGATAACGAGAAGAGAGATCGTCACCATTTTCATCGTAACGCAATAAGAGCATTTTTAAGGTAGCAATTCTCAAGTGAAATAGCAGCGGTTGATATCTGTGTTTGCCCTGCAAGTCAAACGCTTATGAGCTTGTATTTTGAAAGCGTTCGCGTATGTCCAGTCATGTTTGAAAACAGGGAAATTTAAGACCAACTATCATACATCAATAAAATTAGAACTATCTGTGACGAAAATGGTTCGCGGTTCTCTCCTCCCCGAAATGACAAAGCTCAGTAATTATCTTCCCTATGTATCTCGCTCCTTGTTTCCATCTTTAAAGTCAAACTATCTATTTATCTGTTCCGCACTGCCATCATAGTGATGTATTACTACTATTTATAAACAAAATGTTTATTATTAGTCGTTGATGGCGCGTAATGGTAGCCGAGAGTATTTAGCCGATGCGAATGTTTCTAAATAGTTTTTATCACAAGCATTCAGGCCTTCCGATGACATAATGCTTATAATAATAGTCATGCCTATGTCACTTACTAATCAACAAAAAGAATGTTAATCATCGATGACGCTGATTCTATTGTCACATTACATGTAAAGCCCCTCGGCTACCGTCGTATTTATACAGCCGATTTCCCGTACAACATGCCGTTGTCACTTGTTCCCTTACCCCAAGTAACCTGATGATCTGTCTCTACGCCCGCCCACTATGCGTACCGGTACAACGATCATTTTTTGCCGACTGCACCTTTCCCCTTGCGAGTGTACTCCAGCCTGTTTTTAAACATAGTTGTAGCGCTAACTTTCGCATTTAGTTGCTCCGTTCGACCAATATTGTCACTAGCACACAACACGGCTAAGTATAAATGGGAGATCCTTCTTTCCCTTTCCAGGACCACCTCAGCCGACCGTCCTCCTTCTCTTCGACCCTCTCCACTCGCGCCCTCAGCCTTGCTGATTGTCTGCGCCTACCCACTGGCTAGTCGGGCAGACAATCAGAGAGAGATCCAAACACAGCTACGCATGCAGTCAGAGCAGACAGCGCGATATAGACCCGGTGTGTCTGCCTGATTTGCTGCGGTCGCGTCGTCGCTAGAAGTGGTACTAATAGCAGCCGCCGCCGCCGCCGCCGCCGCCGCCGCAGCAACGTCACTTCTCGTCTGCAGTGCGGGATGTTAGTGGCAATGCTGACCGTCGTCGGGCCCACTCTGTTATCATCGAACTAAGCGTTCTGTGTACAGTGGCAAGAAACAGGACGGCTAGACAGGCAGGCTGAGAGGCAATTGGTCTGACATGATTACTCGCTGGCTCAACGATCATTCAATTCGTTGTACAACACGGTGGTTTCCAATTAATCAGAGATCGTGATCAATATGGTTCCGATGTTAACTGACGAGTCAGGTCAAACGAAGAAGCGAGCCTGCACGATAGATACGAAGTACGAAACCACGTCTGCCATATAGCGAAAAGTGAATTACCACCGTACCCTAATAGTGGCTTAGTCGGTTCCATTTAAAAAGAACATCTTCAGGCAAACGGCACGTTCAGCTCGTGTGATCGTTGTTTCGGAAGATTCAACACTCCGTGTGTACACGCGCGAGCGTGTCTGTGTATATTTGAGTCTCCCGCAACTGTGTAGCTTATGTAATTTGCCAATGTTTCGCCCATATAAAAAAGGTGTCCGAGAGAAGTGTTGATTTTAGTGCGTTCTCCGCTGACTATAAATTACCTAAAAAAAAAAAACAGGCATTTGCACCGAGAGATCGGTAATCGTCAGTCGTGTAAATAAAGCACAAGATTAAATAAGTACACATTTATTAGATTTGAAGACAAATAATTAACAATTAAAACCTTTCCGTGAAATAGCAAGAAAGGAACAAAGAGACGACACATTTTAACGAGATGACCCCTTCAACGCCAGCTACGTCACGTGCTATTGCCTCTGCTGCCGTGGCTGCACCATCTGCATCTACGAAGGACAGATTCCCGTAAGTTGTCAATCAGACATTTTTGTTAGCCCCACAATTTAGCATCATTACATTTGTCACAAACGAAATGAAGGGCGGCACAAAAATCACGTCCTTGCCTATTCGACATAATATTATGCATTCTATACGATTTTCACATCTACCGCTACCATTCATAAGTACTAACCGGCAGCGGACCTTGTTTCCTTCTACAACTAATGAATAGGCTCTAGTAAAGACAACGTTGTCTTCCTAGAACACCACGACGACAACATAGCAAAGTAAATAAGGCCTGCTTCGTTCGACTCGAATAAAGCCTGTGTTCCGCATGAATACACCAAATATAAACAACCTGGCACCATTTTACCGCTGTTACGCGGTCGCATTCGGTAAAAGCCACCTCTAAAACTTCGTCGGCTACACAAGATGCCTTAATTTTATATCTATCGACTTGTCTCTGTTCATAAATCTCGCGCCAAACTACAGACCGAGCTTAGGCAGAACTCAGTAGAACTGTCGACCCATCGACCTCATTCAATAGTCATTCATAGTGCAGTAAGTGTAGCAGAATCCAGTCAACGAAGGCAGGTACAAAAGCCTACTAAATCTCCTACAGAGCCGTCAGCAGGCGCTGTCCTAATAGGGAAATATCCTTTTTCGCAGTGCGGCACCGCTCCTCTTAGCTAGCCGCGTGCTAGTGCCACTACTATATTGCCCTACTAGGCCGGTATCGAGACTTCCTTAACAGAAGTCGATTTGCTCGTCGCCTCGCATCGTGATCTCGGGCTGTTGGTGCAACTCTCGACAAAAACGAGGGCGGATCCTACCGCTTTAACGATGAAATGATATTACGTACCTTTGATGTTCTATATATATTTTACTAATGAGAATAACTAGACCAACCGATTGATAACTAATCATTGAGTCTTACAGAACTTTGTGTTGAAATATATATCGACTGACATCTGCTAGCATTGAAATAAAGGCATCAGCTAAGATACTGTTAGTTTTAATGAAAACCTGGACAATTTACAAGTATCACCCCTGTATGACTCGAGAATTTCTAGGGACCAAGTTAATAACAGTTTGCTTGTGAATTGCAAACGCGATTAGTACTTGGCGGCTGACGGCTTCATAGCTTCTCGCAATGAGAATGTTTATAGCAGTCGCACATACGGGAGCATCGTGACCTTTATTTCGCCCATCCACAACGACATATCTACTATGGGATGCATAGGAGCAAGCTACTAAAGGCTCTACACTGGGCCTTCATGAGAAATGCGATACAATATAGACCTTTGTTTACCCATTTATCCCTACGGCACTTTGGGTGCGCAGGTTGCGTCGGCGACAGGTCAGTTAAACTGCTTCGTGAAATTGTACAGGAATTTTTAGAGCATAGAGGCCATGATTAGAGAGGGAAGCAGTGCCCTTGTTGTGGACGGATATAGAAAGCAGTTTTACGAGTGTGGCTATGTGGGATCAGAGCTTACGTATCGTAGCGACGGCAGTCTCTTCAGGTTTATTGTAATGTCGAATTTATAAAAACAAACAAATTGTATTCCAATTTTTTTTGTAATTCTTACAAAGCGGCGCAATGTCTATCCAAAACCTGTTGTGCGAAACACACGTCTATCTTATCGGTATGACTCCGAAACAGTTCCATTGATCCCTCTAGATAAAACGGACTAGGGAAATCCAACGAAACAATAAGAAATGAAAAAGTTACGGGCATTTTCAATATTAAAAAAGAAATCGTCCATTGTAAGCAACTAAAACTAAGAACGCGCATATAAACAAGTTGTAAATAAAATGGCACACGTTGACGTGCGCCATTTTAAATTGACATTATTTAGACGTACACACTTTGCAAGTAGCTGCCATATGCCCTGTAGTTTCGAGGAATATATATAAAGCACTAACGTTAATGAGGAACGTGGTCAGCTTGTTAAGTTTGATGATACCATTAGATGGGTGAGCTCATCCCGAAAAAAATTCCGCTCTAAGGACCATTCTCTTGAAAGTAGTTTTTGCTTTTGGAGCTCTGGAGATTTCAGCAGAATTTGGTACATTATGAACGCTGCATTTTAAGTAAAATAGGCCATTATTATCGTTATTATCTTATCCTGCTATTCGGTTTCAACAGGTGAAAGGAATCACATGTTTTTATTTATTCTCTTCGAGGACTTCTATTTGGTATA